GATGCTGATGAAGAACCTCTACTCCAAGAACCCCAACTACATCAGGTACCGGCCCCGAGGGGGACCCCCGGCCGCGGCTCCCGTGCCAGCGGGACCCCCCGACCCACCGCCGCCCCCCCAGGTGCATCAAGCCCAACGACACCAAGTCAGCGATGGTGTTCACGCCGGAGCTGGTGCGGGCGCAGGTCCGGTACCTGGGGCTGCTGGAGAACGTGCGGGTGCGGCGGGCGGGCTACGCCTTCCGCCAGCTCTACGGCCCCTTCCTGCAGCGCTACAAGATGCTCAGCCCCCGCACGTGGCCCCGCTGGGCCGGCAGTGACAGGTAACGGGGCCGGGCCGCGGGGCCGGGGGGCTGCCGGGGGGGCTCTGACCAGCCTCGTCTGTGCCGCGGTGCAGGGAGGGGGCCGAGGTGCTGCTGGCAGACCTGGCGTACCCCAAGGAGGAGCTGGCCTTCGGCCACACCAAGGTCTTCATCCGCTCGCCACGGACAGTGAGTCTGGGGATGGGGGAGTCCGGGGGGATCCGAGCTTGTCCTGGGGGCTCCTGGACGATGCCGCAGCCCCCAGCAGTGGTTCTGGGGGAGTCCCTGTCCCCGCTCGGTGCCCCAGCGCTCACCGTGGTCGTTCCCAGCTCTTTGACCTGGAGCGGCGGCGCCAGGAGCGCGTGGCCCAGCTCGTCACCCTCATCCAGAAGATGGTCCGGGGCTGGCGGTGCCGGACCCAGTACCAGCTGATGCGCAAGAGCCAGATCCTCATCTCTGCCTGGTTCCGGGGCCACGCGGTGAGGAAGGGCAGTCCTGGGCACGTGTCCCCTGCCCGTCCCTCGTCCCCTGGCTGTCCCAAGCCCCCCCAGCTCATCCCCCCTCTCCCCCTGCAGCAAAAGAACCGGTACAAGCAGATGAAGCGCTCGGCACTGATCCTCCAGGCGTACGCGCGGGGCTGGAAGGTGAGGGCTGGGCATCTCGGGGCTGGCAGGTCTGCTGGTGTGGGCAGGAGGGTGGGGGGCACAGGGTGGGGAGGAACGGGGGCTCCTTGTGCCCCATGGTGGGACCGGGGGCTCTGTGTGTCCCATGGTGGGATCAGATCCATCCTCATCTCCTCTCCCCGTCTTCCATCCTTCTCTCCTGCCTCTCTCCTGCCTCTCCCTCTTGCTCCATATCTGTGTTGGTGTCTCTCCCTCGGGCCCCCTGGGCTCTCCCCCCGCAGTCTCGCCGGCTCCTCCGGGAGCTGAAGCGCCAGAGCCGACGCCGCGCGGCCGCCACGACCATCGCCGCTCACTGGAGAGGGTACCAGGTAACGGGGCCAGCCCTCCTGCTGCCTCTGTCCTGCTGTCCGGGCTGTCTGTCTGTCTGCCCACCCAGCTCCTGCCCACCCTGTCGGGCTGGAGCCACTGTCCTCTCCGCTGGGGCCAAATGGGGGCAGGGGGATGGGGGGACAGGGGATGGGGGGCAGGGGGATGGGACACCCGTGTCCTGGGGGGGCTGGCAGTGGGGTGGTGGCGATGTCCAGCCTCCCCACCCTCACTGGCCCCGTCCCCGCAGGCGCGCAGGAGGTACAGGAGGTATTTCCGCACCAGCGCCAGCACCTTCCTGGCCAACTTCATCTACCGGCGCCTGGTGAGCGGGGCCGGGGGGAGAGGGGACCTTCCCAGCACCCCACCCTGGGGCTGGACCCTCCGATCCCCTCCTGACCCCCCGCTGCACTGTCACCCCCAGGTGTGCAGGTACCTGGTGGGGCTGGCGAAGAACCTCCCGCCGCTGTCGGTGCTGGACCGGACCTGGCCCCCGGCGCCGTACAAGTTCCTGGGTGATGCCAACCAGGAGCTGAAGAGCATCTTCTACCGCTGGAAGGTGGGAGCAGGGGGAGAGGGGGGGAATGCCCGCTGGGATGTTGTGTCCCTCCGTGCCAGCCCACCCGAGGGGTGGCACTGAATCGCCCCCTCCCTCGGCAGTGCAAGAAGTACCGGGACCAGCTGCCGCCGTCGCGCCAGGCCCAGCTGCAGGCCAAGCTCTGCGCCAGCGAGCTCTTCGAGGACAAGAAGACCCTCTACTCCAAAAGGTGCCAGGGCTGGGGGCTGTGGGGAGGAGGGGGCTCAGGACAGCGGGGGCTGACGGGCTCATCCCCAGCGTGCAGCAGCCCTTCCGCAGCGATTACCTGGGGCTGAAGCAGAACCCCAAGTACCAGAAGCTCCACGCCGTGGCCAAGGACAAGGTGGTGATGGCCGACACCGTGAGGAAGGTGAACAGAGCCAGCGGCAAGGTGAGCCCCCGCCTCGTCCCTGTCCCCACTGGAGGGTGTACAGGACCACGCTGACCCCCTGCCCGTGCTGGCCCTGCCCGCAGACGGTCCCGCGCCTGCTGCTCCTCACAACCGAGCACCTGGTCCTGGCTGACCCCAAGACCGCCCAGCCCAAGACCGTGCTCGGCCTCGGTGACATCCGCAGTGTCTCCGTCACCCGCTTCTCCGACGGCTTCCTGGTCTTACACCTCAAGGAGGTACCCGGGGAGGGGGGTCCCTGGGGGCTCAGGGGTCCCCAGCAGGGTTGACCCCCTGCTCGCCCCACAGGTCTCCACGGTGGGGGCCAAGGGCGACTTCCTGCTGGTCAGTGACCATCTCATCGAGCTGGTCACCCGCCTGCACCAGACCCTGGAGGCCACCACGGGGCAGGCACTGACCCTGCACATCACGGACAAGTACGGGTGGGGCTGGAGTGGCTGTGGTTGTCATGGGTGGGGCCTGAAGGGCAGGGCTACGAGGGGCTGCTGTGGACAGGACTAATGTGGACGGGGCAGGGCTGTAGTGGGAGGGGCCCAGAAGGTGGGGCTGGTGTGGGTGTGGCTACTGCGGGTGTGTCTGCCCATGGTTGTCTGCACCAGGCAGCCCCTGAGAGGTGGGTGTCACCAGGGCAGCAAACCGGGCACTGCGGGCCCGGTGTGTCCCCACCCCACCTCTCCATCCTGCCCCTCCACTCCATCCTGCCCCTCTTTCCAGGTTCTCCACCCGCTTCCCGAAGGGTGACGTGTCTGTCACCGTGGTGGAGTCACCCAAGGCCGGCCCCGACGGCCCCATCTGCAAGAAGAAGGGCAGCCACAAGATGGAGGTCCTGGTGCACTGAAGGGACTCCCACCCTTCACAGGGACGCCCACCCATGCACCGGCACCCCCGACCCCCTCGTGTCATCCTCCTGCCCCCCCGGGTGCTGGCAGTGCCCAGGAATCGCTCCAGACCCATTAAACGGATGCTGAGGTGTTGGTACCGGGGTGGTGTCACAGTGGGTGACCCCGTTCCAGGTAGGGTGGGGGGATCCCATTGTGCCAGAGCCCCAGGACACGGTGCCACGATGCTGGAGCTGGGGGACAGAGCCCAGCACAGCCTTTCCTGCTGCCTGATTGCGGCCGGCGCTCGGCTCCTGGTGATTGGAAAGGCCCCAAATTGCGGCCACTTTTCCCATTAAGTGGCTCCCGGCTCGTGCTGCTGCAGAGGCAATTTCTGGGCAGCCGTGGGCGGCTGCACGTGAGGTCCCTGGCACCCTCTCCCTGTGCTGACCAGCCACGTCCCCCCCTGCCCAGGGTCCCCCACCCCACTGCAAGACCCCCCATGCAGGTTGCTCCCGACGCAGGCTGGCACTGGAGCTGCATTTGGGAACCAGGTTGCATGGACAGGGGACAGAGGGGAGTCACCACACAGCCCCAGTGACACCACTGCAGCCCCCAGGGACCTGCAGGGCCCCTGCCAGTCCTGCAGCCCCCTGGAGCCCACAGCTCCCGTGCCAGGGTGTCCCCCCCTTGCCTTTCCTGCACTGATCAAGCTCTCGGAGAGGGTTTTTTTCCTGTCCCCACACATCACCCGCGTTACCTTCGGGAGCTGCCAACTCCCCGTCACGTCACCATCAGCACCAGCTCCCAGGTGGGCCCTGGAACAGGGTTTGTCGTGCAGGGGGAGCGTGTGCGGGCAGCTCCTGCACGTGGGGGGACACGTGTGCGTGCGTGGGGGCCCCCGACGGCCCGGCCGTGCCCCGGTGCCGAGGGCTCCCCCCTTCCCCCTCGGGCTCCGTCGCGTCCCCGCGCAGGGACCTTCCCTCGCCGTAAACAAGCCCGGGGCACCGCGGCTCTTCACGGCTGCCTCGCACTTGGCATCGCACAAGTAGGTGTTATTAATTAATTAGTCCATCTCTGGCCAGGCTCCGATTTAATTAACGTTCCCGGCACTGCAGATGCTGCCCTGCCCCGGGCTGTGCTGCCACGTGAGCCGCCGCTGCCTTCCCGGGGGGCTGCGCAGCCACCGGAGCAGCCGCAGCCACCTGTTGCTCGGGCTGAAGTCGGTGGCTCTCACTTGTTGGCCCGGTTGTTCCCCCTTTCGTCGCACCCCTCCGCTTCCCCCCCCGAATTTCCCTCCCCATCTTCCACCTTGGCACATCCTGGCATGGGAGTGGGCAGGCCGGGAGCACCGGAGTGGGGCTGGGGGCGACGGGCAGGGTGTGAGGGGGGTGTGTGTGGGCACACGTGTGTTTGTGTGCGCAGATGAACACGCGTGTACATCCTGTGTGCGTGGTGGGAGCAGGGCCGATCCCCCTGTGCTATGAGAACCCCAAAGCCTGGCTGCAGAGTCCGGCATCCAGCCGGGACCATCCCGCCGTCTGTGTTCCCAACAGACACGTCGTGACGGGGGGCACGTCCCCGTAACGAGGGGCCGGGGGCTGCGTGGGCACAGTGCCCGTGTGCTGACCCCCCAGCCCGGGCGCCGCGGGGGGCCGGTGTGGCTGCGTGGGCACACGCGTGTCGCAGCGTGACTCCGCATGTGCGATGGGTGCTGTCGGTGTCACGGTGCCTGCGTGGGCGTGAAGCTGCAGGGTGGGGGTACCACCCCCCCCGGCCCCCATTGGCAGCTCTCCTCTCGCCCACCCCTGCCGTGCCATGGGCAGAGCCCCTTATTTAGCGCCGTGCAGCAGCTGGTGCCACCGTACTTCGCCTCCCGGCTGAGCCCGTGCTGGGGGAGCCACCGCAGCTGCCCACCACCGCCACCACCGCTGCCCACCACCGCTGCCCACCACCGCTGCCCACCACCGCTGCCCACCGCTCCTCGAGGCGTCCCTGCTCTGCAGCCACCAGTGACGAGGGTCCCTCAGCCCCTGGCCCCGCACCAGGCAGCACCGGAGGGCTCGGCAGGTCTGTGTCCCCGTGGCCTGCAAGCCCCGGGGCTTTCCCAGGGTCCGTGGGGGCTGCTGAGCCCTGTCCCTGTCCCGCTGGGGCTGAGGGAAGGCAGAGGGAAGAGGGGGAGGTTCGGGATGGCACTCGGGAGGGCACGGGAGGGAGGAGAGAGGGGGTGGAGGTGTTCCTTGAATTCGGGGAGGGTTTGGGGGGGCTCTGGAAGCAAGTCTGGCTGTGGGCAAGCATGTGCGTGCCAGGGGACACCTGTGTGCTGACACGGGTGAACGTGCAGGACAGAGCCCGAGCCGCGCCCGCTGTGCCCACATTGGTGCGTGTTTGCACAGTCCGAGCAATGTGTGACAGCACAAACGTGGCACCACGGGCACGAGCAGGGACACGGGACCCCCGGGGCCACAGCAGGGCCGTGTCCCCCTGCACCCCCCGTAACAGCCCCCCCCCGCCCCTGTAAGGCACCCCCGGGTGCAGCCCCCTCCCCGGGACACCGGCACGGTCCCTCCCTCGCGGACCCGAGTGGGGGTCCCGTCGCCCCCCGTCCCCCCGTCTCCCGTCTCGCTACTTTCCCTCCCCAGAGCCCGGTCCGGTCCCGGGCTCGTCCCGGGCCGCCCCGTCGAGGGGGCACCGGCTCGGGGCGGCCCCGGGCCCCGCCGCTCCGCCGCTGACCGCGCCCCCAGACCCCCGCCGAGGATGAGGAGCCGCCCGGTGCTGGCGGTGCTGCTCGTCCTGGCGCTGCCGCTCGCCCTCGCCCGCCGCCCCCCCGCCGCCGCCCCGCAGGACCCCGCGCCCCCCGCCCAGGTACGGCCGTCGTGAGGGGGCGCGGCGGGCGGAGCCCGGACTCCCAGGAGCCCCTCGGATCCCTTCCCACCGCGCTCACCCCCTTCGCTCCCGCAGGGGATGCTCGTCCCGGAGCCGCTGCGCTGGAGCGCCCGGGGCAGCCCCGGGGCCGCCGCTGCCGCCGCCGCGCTGGAGCTGCTGCGGGAGCAGGGCGCCGGTGAGGGGCTGGGGGGGCTCGGGCTGGGGGGCTCTCGGTCCGCCCGGGCCCCTCTCACCCGCTTCGGTCTCTTGCAGGTCCCCCCGCGGCGCAGCAGAAGCGTAAGTCCCACCCGGTGCCGGTGACGGTGCCGGGGCCGCCGCCGGGGCCGGGGCCGCTGACGGCCGGTCTCTCCGCAGGGGACATGCACGATTTCTTCGTGGGGCTCATGGGGAAGCGGGCGGCGGAGCCCGGGCGAGCGGCGGGGCGGGGGGAGGGCGGCCCGGCCCCCCGCTGCTCTCCGGGGACCCCCGCGCCCGGCCAGGCCCCGCTGCGAGCCCTTTGAGCCGCGGGACGAGCCCCCCACGCCCGGGGGCCGCGGGACCGGCAGCGGGGGCGTCCCGGGCGCCGCCGCCCGCGGAGCCGTCGTGGGACCCCGCCGGGAGCGCGGCCGTCCCGCCCCGCGCGCGTGTCCGCGCGTCCGCGCACCCGTGTACACCCGCATCGCCCCGCTAAACACCCACCCGTGACTGCGCGGGACACGCGCAAACGCCGTCTCTGTGTCTTGGCTGCGCCACCGGCCCCCGGCTGGGGCAGCCCACGGGGATGGGGCTGCGGGGACCGATCCACGGAGATGGGGCTGCGGATCCACGCGAATGAGGCTGCGGGAAAGAGCCCACGGGGATGGGGCAGCAGGGACGGGTCCATGAGGATGGGGCTGCGGGAAAGAGCCCGCGGGGATGGGGCTGCGGGAACGGATCCACGGGGATGGGGCTGCGGGAACGGATCCACGGGGATGGGGCTGCGGGAAAGAGCCCGCGGGGATGGGGCTGCGGGAACGTGTCCGTGGGGACGGCGGGGCTGGGTCCTTGTGCTTCTGGGCTACAGCGACCTGTGCCTGCCCCGCAGTGCTCCGTGTCCGTGTCCCCCCGCCCGTGTCCGTGTCCGTGTCCCCCCGCCCGTGTCCCCCCGCCCGGTGCCGCGCTGGGTCCTCCCCGCCCCGCGGGGGCGCTGCGGGCGGCGGGTCCCGGAAGGCGGCGCGGGCCGGGGCGGGCGCGGGGCGGGTCGGCGCCTTTGTGTGAGCCGGGCCGGGATGGTGCGGGGCGCCGGGCGGGTAAGGACCGACCCCCGCCCGCGGCCCCCGGACCCCGCAGCCCCCCCCGCGCCGCGGCCCCCGCGCCGACCCCTCGCGGGCCCCCCCGGGGCCTCCCGTCGCCCCTCGTGGCTCCCCTCGGGGGCCCTTTCTGCTGCCCCCCCCCCCGTGGCCCCGCGTTCCCCCCTCCCCTTGGCCCGCCCGGGGGTCCCCGCTGCCCTCCCTCCCTTTCCTCCCGGGGCAGCTTCGCGACTCCCCGTCCCCCTCCTGCCCGCCCGCGCCCCCCGGCCCCCCCTTTCCGCTGCCCCCGCGCCCCCATCCCTTCTCCCGCTCTTCTCCCCCCCCCGTCCCATCCCCTCCACAGGGATTCCCGCGCCGCAGGAATTGCCGCTGGTGAGCGTTTGCCTTCCAGAGCCTTCCCCGGCCATCCTCCTCCTCTTCCTCGCCCTCCCCAGCTGCCGGGGGTTTTCCCTGGGGGAGGACGGTCCATCCTCAGCCCCTCTGACCCTTCCCTGGCTCTGGGGCAGGAGCAGCCCCGTCCCCTCCTGCCCCCTCCAAACTCCCGCTCTCTGCTGCTTTCTGCGCCCGCTGTTCCCCGTCCCGGGAAGGAGGAGGCTGGGAATTAGGGGTAGAGCTCTCTGGGTAAGTTTGTGGGGTCCCAAAAGCTGCTGGAGCATCCGTGAGCAGGACAGGGTAGCAAAGGCAGAGGGATGAGCTGGAGGGACACGCTCAGGTGGGAATGGCCGGTGCCTGGGGCAGGCGTGGTGGCAGCCAGGGAATCTGCACTGAGAGGTGCCACAGCAGAGGAGAAATCCCAGGAGAGCCCACGAGGCTGGAACACAGAGGATCCGAGATGAGATCCCACCTGGGAACGGAGAGTCTCCGTGTGGGTACAGGTGGAATCTGAAGTGCAGGGATGAAGTGGTGGCTGGAGCAGATCCAGATGGGAATCTGACCGCTGTGTGGAGCCTGAGTGTCATCCCTCTGGAGAGGAGCCTTGTCCCTGGCTCAGGAAGAGGGGGGATGGCTGGAACAGGCTCCTGTTGGGTCTCTGAGTCAACAGATGTCTGTCCCTGCCCAAAGAGCAGCAGGACCTTCAGCTGCCTCTGGCAGAGTCAGCGGCTTTTTGTTTTGAGTTTGTCCCTTTGTGCATCCGCCCCTTCGCTTCTTAAAAAGTTGGTCTGTGAGGTGACAAGGCAGGTTCAGTCCCTTTCCAGCTGAGCAGCTGCTCTGTGGCTCATCCAGAAGGCGTAAAATGGGAGGTCTGACCAGAATGGTGTTACTTTGGTTGTTTAAGTGCTACCATTTTTCTGCGTTTCCCCTCTCCAGAGCCCCTTGCCCTGCCACTCCTGGCTGCCCAACACCTCCTGCTCCCGCCACTGATGAGGGTGTAAAGGCCAAGCTGACCGGGAGGAGGGACTCTCAAGCAGCTGCTAAGATGGGCATGAGGATCAAGCTGCACAGCACCAACCACCCCAACAACCTGCTGAAGGAACTCAACAAGTGCCGGCTCTCCGAGACCATGTGCGACGTCACCATCCTGGTGGGCTCCCGCTCCTTCGCTGCGCACAAGGCCGTGCTGGCCTGCGCCGCCGGCTACTTCCAGAACCTCTTCCTGAACACGGGGCTGGACGCTGCCAGGACCTACGTGGTGGACTTCATCACGCCGGCCAACTTTGAGAAGATCCTGAGCTTCGTGTACACCTCGGAGCTCTTCACAGACCTCATCAACGTGGGCGTCATCTACGAGGTGGCGGAGCGGCTGGGCATGGAGGACCTGCTGCAGGCCTGCCACTCCACCTTCCCCGACCTGGAGAGCTCGGCCATCACCAAGCAGCCCTCCCTGTCCGTGGGGGAAGGCCGGGCAGGGCCGCTGAGCAGCACCTCCTCGGAGCAGAGCCACTCCTTGGGTGACATCCGGAGCAGCGCCGAGCACTTCGGCCCCGAGCGGAATTACATCCTGCACGGGGACGTGTCGGGCGGCTACAAGGAGGACGACAGGAATCCCGTGGGTGAAGCCAGCCAGGCTCTTCCCCTGATGCATCCACAGCAGCCTCCCAAGACGGAACAGGGGCCGGATCCAGGGCAGTTCGCTCCGGCCGCGGGTCTGGGGGCCCAGCCCGGCGGGAATGTCGCGGCACAGACCACCGGCAGCTCCTGCTCCCAGTACAAGGCCCAGAGCAACGGCGACTACGGAAAGGGCGGCTTCTTCCCCACCGATCCGTCCCTGGATGTCTCCATGGGGAGCAACTCCTGCCCCAGCAACAGTGACCACTCCAAAGAGCAGGGATTCGAGCAGATGGATGAGCTGCAGCTGGAGGATCTGGGAGAGGCCGAGCTGCATTTTGAGGATGCTGGAGAAGAGCTGGGCCCTTCCGAGGAGGTGATTGAGCTGAGCGACGACAGCGAGGAGGAGCTGGCCTTCGAGAGCGACGGCCGGGACAGCAAGGCCATGCCCTGCCAGGTCTGCAAGAAGGTGCTGGAGCCCAACATCCAGCTGATCCGCCAGCACGCCAGGGACCACGTGGACCTGCTCACCGGGAACTGCAAGGTCTGCGAGACCCACTTCCAGGACCGCAACTCCAGGGTCACTCACGTCCTGTCCCACATCGGCATCTTCCTCTTCTCCTGCGACATGTGCGAGACCAAGTTCTTCACCCAGTGGCAGCTGACGCTGCACCGGCGGGACGGGGTCTTCGACAACAACATCGTCGTCCACCCCAGCGACCCCCTGCCCGGGAAGGTGGCCGTGTTTGGGGGAGGGGGGAGCCCCGAGCTGGCCTGCGCTGCCTGCGGGAAGCCCTTGGCCAAAGATTTCCACACCGTCCGGAACCACCTCCTGGAGCACGTGAACCTGAAGAGCCAGACGTGCGGCGTGTGCGACCAGAGGCACCTGAGCCTCTGCAGCCTGATGTGGCACACCCTGTCCCACCTGGGCATCTCCGTCTTCTCCTGCTCCGTGTGCGCCAACAGCTTCGTGGACCGGCAGCTGCTGGAGAAGCACCTGGCCGTGCACCAGCACGTGGAGGAGGCTCTTTTCCAGTGCCACTTCTGCAGCCAGAGCTTCAAGCTGGAGGCGGCCTATCGGTACCACGTCAGCCAGCACAAGTGCGGCGGGAGCCTGGACATCCGGGCGGGGTTCGGGGAGCGGCTCCAGCCGCAGGGGCTGCCCAAGAGGAAGCTGCCCGAGGAGTTCCTGAGCGAGGAGCTGGCGCTGCAGAGCCAGCCGGGGAACAGCAAGTACAGCTGCAAGGTGTGCGGGAAGAGGTTCGCCCACACCAGCGAGTTCAACTACCACCGGCGCATCCACACCGGCGAGAAGCCCTACCAGTGCAAGGTGTGCCACAAGTTCTTCCGCGGGCGCTCCACCATCAAGTGCCACCTGCGGACGCACTCGGGGGCCCTCATGTACCGCTGCACCGTGTGCGGGCACTACAGCTCCACGCTCAACCTCATGAGCAAGCACATAGGGGTGCACAAGGGCAGCCTGCCCCCGGACTTCACCATCGAGCAGACTTTCATGTACATCATCCATTCCAAAGAGGCCGAGAAGAACACGGATAGCTGATGGGGGCGAGGCAGGAGGAGCGAGCGTTTTCGTTACGGAGGCCGTGGAAAAAAAAAAAAAAGTGTCGTTTCTTTTATTTAATGGTCAGGCATCATGGATGGAATTCTCCTTTTCGGGTTTTTTTTTTTTGTTTGTTTGTTTGTTTTAATTTTTATTTTTTTGTGCCTATTTAGGGCTTTTTTTAGATTGGTGGCGTTGTACAAATTAACAGCACGTGAGGTACATCACTGTTTCAAGGAGTCTGTCGTGTTTACTTGACTCTGGTCCTGTTAGAGGCCATCGAGTTCTGTGTTTTTAGTATTCCTCACTAGTTTTTGAGTCTAGAGTCTATTTTTTTGAGCCTTCTAGCCCACTCAACCAGGCTAACCCTGAGCTTGTCCACAAACTGATGCTGCTAAGATTTTCACACCTGACCTCAGTGGAGAGGGACAGAGCCAGAGCAGGTGCTGGACTCGAAGGAAAGGAACAAAAAGGAAAGAAAAAAGGAAAAAAAAAAAAAGACGTTCTGGGCATCCCTGGGGTTCTGCTGCTACTGCCAGAAGATGGGCCAAGTGTGTCCTGAGATTGGCCATCGCTGGGTCACCAGGGAGAGGAGCAGGAAGCGTGTGAGTGTGCAAATGAGGAGGGGGATTCCCACATTCCCAGCCGAGGTTCCCCTGCCGTGGCTGTGACACGCTCGCTCGTGCCCTGAGGAGGAGATGGAGCGACACAACCTCCCTGCAGAGCCCGAGCGGAGGCGGCTGCGCAGGCACAGGGATCTCCCGGAGGAGTCTCCGGGCTGGAGAGGGAGGGGAAGCAGGTCCGTGTTCCTGGGAGGTGGTTGGTGGTGGCCATGGAGAGCCGCTGGAATCCCCCGGCTCGGGGCTGCCGGACGCCTGGCGGATGAGACGCGATGAAGCCGTTGCCTTAACTCCCTGGAAGGTACCTTCGAGGGCCCTTCTGCCACGAAGGGATCCTCCCTGCCACGAAGGGATCCTCCCTGCCACGAAGGGATCCTCCCTGCCACGTCGTGGATCACCACATCCTGGACCTGTCTGGTGGCAAACGTGCGCTGTTGGAGCGACGTGAGTTTGTTCACAGAGCCGGAGTTGCAGCAGTGGCGGCCACCGGGGACCTCAGCTTGGCCTCTCCGGCCACGTGCCAGGCACTCCTGGGCACAGGGGGCTCACCTGGGCATGGGGGGGCTCACCTGGGCATGGGGGGCTCTCCCAGCTGCTTGCCAGGGCACTCCTGGACACGCAGGGCTCTCCGGAGTATAGGGAAGCTCTCCTGGGCATGGGGGGGTCTCCCGGCCGTGTGCCAGCTGCTCCTCAACGTGGGGGGCTCTCCCAGGCACAGGGGTCTCTCCCAGACATGTGTTGGGCGTCCCTTGGCAGGGGGGGCTCTCCCAGCCCCGTGTCGGGCGATCCTGGGGGGTCACTCCTGGCCCCACCAGCGAGCTCAGCCCGTGCTGACAGTGTTTACACCAGGAAGGGTGGGAATTGGCTTTTTCCCATGTTATCCTGCTGCGGGGCAGAGGTGGGGAGGGACAGATAATTCCGAGCTCGGGCTGCCCTTCGGGAACTCATTCTACCTCACAAACAGGAAGCGCTCGGGGCTCTCGGTGGTCACAGGTCGGCTCCTGCGCTTCTGTCAAGTTTTGCTGTTGCTAAACTAAACTAAACTAAACTAAACTAAACTAAACTAAACTAGTGATTTGCAAACCCCGGAAACTCACCCCGCTGCCCCTTCCCTGGGGAGGGGCACCCGGGAAGGGAGGTCCCGCGGCGGGGGCCGGACGTGCCCGGAGAGCTCCCCCCGCCCCGCCGTGGCCTTGGGCAGGTCACTTCACCTCTTTGCCTCAGTTTCCTCATCTGTAAAATGAGGGTGGTACCTGCCGTGGTACCGACCTACCTCCGGGAGCGGGGGGTGCCTGGAGCCTGCGCTCGGAGGAGGGGAGGCCCCGAAGCAAAGGTCAGCCCCGGGCTGGCCTGGCTGCTGCAGCTCTGGGTTCCCAGCTCCGGCGTCGTGGTGCCGGCTCTGGGGTCGCTGCAGAGCCGCGTTCAGCTGAGTGTGGTTAAGTTTTACAAAAAAAGAAGGGTCGTTTTGGGAAAGCTTGGGGCTCTGGGAATCGGGGGGGAGCTGGTGGTGCTTCGCTGGGGGCTCCTCTGAGCTGCTCTTTGGGTTCCAGGGTTTCTCTCGTGGAGTCACGGGATGGATGAGGCTGGACGGGACCACTGGGGGTCACCCAGTCCCACCCCGTGCTCACACAGGGTCCCCTCGAGCGCAGAACTCCGGGCTGTGTCCGGCTGGGGACAGGGAAAGGGGCAGGGACAGGGATGGACACAACCTGCCCTGCTCTGGAGGTGGCAATGAAGGATGTGAGGGACAGACAGGGCTGGGAGAGCCTTGAGACCCTCCTGGAACGTTCCAGAAGCCGTGGTGAGCTTTGGGAAGGGCCAGGGCACAGCACCTGCAGCCCCGGATCTCAATAAGCTGTGAAGCAAAAGCCTTTTGTGCACATTAACCAAAAAGAGAAGCTTTTACACTGAAACACTTGACGGGCACAACCGGCCCTCGCTCCCAGCCCTGGGGGGAAAGCAGGAGCCAGCTCTGATCCCTGGAATTTCTCTTTGCCTGTGATGCAATGGGTCATTCCCACGTGGAACATCCTGCAGCAGGGGACAAGGGGACAGGTCTGGACCCACCACTGCTCCTCCTCAGGGAGGTTTCTGGAGGGATCAGAGACCTGAGGGCTCCCTCTGGGAGGGTCCTGAGCCTGCAGAGCTGTACAGGGACGTCACCCCTGTGATTCCTGTCCCCTTGTCCGGCTGGGAGCTCCAGTTCCACACTCAGCTCCGTGTTGGGAGTGCCGGGGCGGTCGCTCCGTGCCTGGTTCTGTTCCTGCTCCACCACTGTGGGCAAACCTGCTCCCTCCTGTCCCTGCTCCCCTCGGTGACCGCAGGGACACCCACCCACCTACCTCCCCTGGGCCGGCCTGAGGTGTTTGCCAAGTGCTTTGGGGTCCTGGGGTAGTAGAGGGGGGTGCAGAGGGGAAATGCCGGGTCCTGGAGCCTCCCGGGGAGCTCCGACAGGGAATCCCCTTCCCGGGGCCTGCTCCGAGCCCGTCCCCAACACAAAGTTCATTTTCCCCGTTCCCAACAGATCCAGGTCTCTCATCAGAGTAATGAAGCAGAAGAAAGAACCAGAGTTGAAATTGCTGTCTAACCTTTTCGTTAAGTTAATCGTAGGTACTGACCTCCTGCTATTTAAGTGTTTACTATCTATTTGCTGTAAAGTTTTGTATATTTTGTAAACTTTCCCCCCAAAATCGTAGATGTCTAAAATCGTTGTACATCGGGTTCTTTTCTACTCCATTGTTCAGCACAAAGTGTGGTTTTTATTTAGAATAATAAAAAGGAAAACGTTGACCTCTTGTAGCTGCCTCTTCATAAAACCTGTTCCTCCCCGTGTGCATCCCGGCGTTCCTGTCTCGGGAATGCCTGAGGCCATCCCAGTATCCTGCTCCCGTGCTGAGCTGGGCAGGATTCCTGCAGGTCCAGGGCTCTTCCTCGCCGCTTCCAGCACTGGGAGTGGCCCAGGGTTGTGCCACGGGTTGTGGCATTCCCGTGGGATGCAGGGATGGGAGGAGGGAGGGCAGAGCTCCCCCCCCCCCATTAGGGAATCCCAGGGTTTGTGTGCCTGGATGAGCCCCTGGGTGAGTGGTCTGGGGGGTAAAGGAGCCAGAGTGTCCCAGGAATGACGGAGGCTTTGCAGGGAGCCCGAGGGAATCGCTGGGGGCCAGCCTGGGTCACCACGTGGGGCTGGGTGGGGGGTTATTTAAGGCCACTCTGGCCCTGAGATCTATGGACAAAGTTTCAGGTAAATGAAGAGAGTTAAAAGTAAAGTTTAATAGGTCAAATACCAAATGTTACATGTTTTAAGTAGCTCGAATATATTGTTGCCCTGGTTTATGGCACACATCAGGTGGTTTGTTGTTGTGTATTTGCCGTCCATTTGGTCACTGGAAGTGGCAGGGAATTGGCAAAGGGAAGCCCAGGGAGGATTTGGGGATGAAGGTGGTGGGGTCCTGCGGGTGCAGACCCCCAAGTTCAGCCTCAGCCTGGGGGAGTAACAGAATTAAGGAAGGGGAACAGCCCGAGCTGCTGCCCTGGACAGGGAATTGCTGGGGTGAGGGGACTGGTGCCTTCCCAGGGTTCCTGTGTGAGACACGGATTTGGTTTGCCCCCTCAGCGCCGGTGTCCCTGGGGGACCAAGGAATGTCCCTGCAGAAGGAACCCTGTGGTATTTAGGGATTTAGCCCGTTGCAGGACCCCTGGAACTGGCAGAGTCAGCCAGCCCTGTGATAACCCCACATCCGTGTTAACTCCCGGTCCTGAGCTTCTCCCAGAACATCCTGCTCCCCCCTGCTCCCCGTGCTGCCAGCATCCTGCCCCCAGAACTGCTTATGCTCTGCTTTTTTCACAGCATGTTTCTCGAGCAGCTCAAGGCCTTTGGAAGATTTATGGGCCCCGGGGCCTGTCGCTCTGTCACCTTCCCCTGCCGAGGGCTCAACCCGCAGCACGTGACTGGGATCAGAGTCCAGAGGAGGATGAACTTTCTCCGGATGCTCCGGTTCCTTGCAGAGCACAAGCCCAGCCCTCTCTCCAGCTCTGGGGATTTCTGCACGTGCCCACGCTCCCACGGGGACTTTGATGGGAGGGGAAGGGCTGCTGGAGCCTGCTGATGTTGAGGAATGCACCCAGTGGCCTTAAATACCTGTAAGGGAATGCTCCAGAGGAGGCTGGATTGACAGGATGGGAGACCCAAACTGGGAACCCACCCCAGCTCCCGGCCCTGAATCTGGCCCTGCCCAGTCAAATCCCATTTAACCACCACTAATTTGCTGCTGGGTTTGCGGAACTGCTCTCAAGGAGTTGCTGATCTCGAATCCCAATCGCTCCTCCCCTGTCCCAGCTCAGGTCTGTGCCCTGCTCAGCCCCCACGGCTGCCTCGCCTTCATCTCTCCAGGGTCAGGCTCTGGGCGTTTCTGGGGGCGGGGAGGGAGGTTTTTGTTCCAAAGGGTGGTTCCCTCTCTCCTGCTCGGGGTGTCGGTGACAGTCTGGGGGTGCAGAAACACCCGTGGTGGGGCAGATCGTGCACCCCAGCCCTGGGGCTTGGGGGGCACGGGGCTCAAATCCCAGGGGCGGGGTCGTGTTGGTCCCCGAGTGGAGCAACTCACTGTTACTGCAAAGGTTTCATTTGGGGAACAGGGAATCTCTCTGATTCTTTCTTTAGCTAAATAGATCTGACACAGCAGCACTGCAGAGGAAAGATGTCTGTAGCTCCTGCACCACCTCCCCTCATGCCCGGCACCCTGTCCTGCCGTGGGAGGCGCCTGGCAAGAGAGGCTGTGCCAAAGCAAAGTGTCTCCTCATCACCAGGAAAACCGATCCCAGTGTCCCTGGGGAGCCGCTGCCGCTACCACGGGGGGTGGGAGGGTCCGACCCCCCTTAGTTGGGAGGGTTGTTTTCCTTGGAGATGACTATGGAGTGTTGTGTGGTGGAGGAGGAGTTGCCAGCGCCCTTCGGGGCGCCGTGGTCCTTGGGGATGTACTTGACCACGGCGGAGATGAGTTTGCTGCGGAAGTTCTTGCTCAGGAAGTTGTAGAGGACGGGGTTGACGACGCAGTGGAGCATCGTGAAGCAGTCTATGATGTCGTAGAAGAAGTAGAGGAAGCGGGCGAAGGTGCAGTTGAGGATGATGTGGTTGCCGTCGAGGGTGAGCAGCGTCAGCACGACGTGGAAGGGCAGCCAGCTGAGGAGGAAGACCACGATGTAGGCGTAGATGAGCAGGCAGTGCCGCCGGCTCTCCGGCTTGGTGCGCCTGAGGAACCGGGCGGTCAGGACGTTGAAGACGGCGATGACAGGGAAGGGGACCAGGAAGCCAATGGTGGTGGTGGCCAAGCTGACCGCCAGCGCCCACTCGTCGTAGGTCTCGAAGGGGGCCATGAAGATGCAGATGGGCTCCCCGGTGTTGACCAGCTGCATGTGGACGACCTCCAGGAAGGGGATGGAGGCGGCCAGGACCCAGCTGCAGGCGCAGGCGGCGCGGCGCACGCGGTGCTGGTGCCGGCGCCAGAAGAGGGAGGAGCTGGTCAGGGACACGTAGCGATCCACGCTCAGGCAGGTGAGGAAGAAGATGCTGGCGTACATGTTGGCAAAGTAGAAGTAGTGTGTGAAGCGGCAGAGGAAGCTGCCCCAGAGCCAGGTGTAATCCAGCATCGCCTCCAGCATCCAGATGGGCAGCGAGAGCATCACCCCGAGGTCAGCGATGGCCATGTTGATGATGTAGAGGTTGACCAAGCTCTTGTTGCCCCGTGTCTGCCAGTTGACCCAGATGACAAGGAGGTTCTCCACCAAGCCCACCACGAAGATGACCAGGTAAAGGATGAAAAGGATCACCCGCTTGATGTTCTCGTCCAGGCTGAACTCGCAGTAGGTGTAGGTGTGGTTCAGGAGGTGGAACAGCTCGGACCAGTTGTGGTAGTCCCCGTACTCACTCGGGACAGTGTGTGTCTCAGTGGGGGCCGTGGTCATCTCAGCCATCCCGGCGCTGCAGGGAAAGGGAGAGCACTGAGCTGGAGAGTCTGAACACGCAGAACTCGGTCCTTGCATGGGGCTCAGACCCTTCTGGGGGGTTTTAACCCAATTTTTAGTCCTATGGTGGCTCCCTACATCAACCCTCTAAAGATGCCGTGTCTGCCCAGGTGATCCCCTCACATGTCAGACTAAGTGCCAGCCACAGACATCAGCCTCATTGGTGGCTGTCCCTGTCCCACAGCCTGGCCAGGGGCATGGGCTGGTGCCCAGGCCACTGAACACCCCGGTGACTGTGCCCCAGACTCCACTCCAGCAGGACAGGCCCCATCCCCTTCCCGAGCCCTCCAAGCGTGGTCCCTCACTGGCTCTGCCTGTCTGGTGGCTGCGTTGCCGGGAGCCGTCGGGACTTCCAAGTAGGTGACAAAATTACAAAGTTAAGGGAAATGCAGTTGACCTCAACATCCTTTGGTGCCTCAAGTGAGAGCTCTGATCCCAGTACAGCTGCATCAGCATGGCAAAGATGCCACAGAACCCATCCAGCCCTGTACCTAGAAGAGCTCAGGACCAGCCATTCCCTCGGGAAAGCTGGAGGAGCGTGCTGGGCTGCCGGGGTGTTCCTGTGGAACTTGGACCCCGGTGAGCCAGGAGTGCCACAGCCGAGAGTCCCCCACCAGAGCGGCATCCCTGTGGCAGTGGGCTGACACCCACCCACTCCCAAAACCATGGAGAGGCTGGACATGCCTTTCCCATGGCTCCCCGACCTCCCACCCTCTCCACACTGCAGGTCCTGAGAGGCCCATGGGATTGGGGAGAGATAACAGGAGAGAGGACATGTGGACAGAAAAAGGGACAGAGGGATGGGAGAGGGGACAGAGGGATGGGAGGGAGCACGGGAGGACAGAAGGGACAGATGGACACGAGGGAGGAGGGACAGCTCTGCTCACCGGTGGCAGAGCGAGGGCTGTGCAGGGGCTGCTCGGGAGCACAGGGATCCTCTCGGCTCAGCGGCTCACGCGCCTCTGGAGAGCAGAGCTCGGGGTGGGCTTGGTGGCTGCTTCCCGGCAGGAAATGACTGTCGTGGTCCAACATCCTGAGGCAGCCCAGCGTGGGTGACATTGGACTGGATTTCCAGCCCCAGGGCTCGGCTCCCTTTGGATTTTGCCGCAGGACTGGGCGGGGGCGCGGGGAGGCCCCGGGCAGGTGTCGGTGTGGGAGCCGCGGGTGCCTGGGGGTGTGGGGATGCAGGGGGGTCCCTGAGGCTTCTGGAGGGTCCCCTCCACAATCCCCCTGCTGGGCTCGGGGGCTGGATCCTGCCTGGATCCTGCTGCAGGGAAAATGCATCCTCTGGGATGGACTTTTCCAGGCCAGGTCCTGCCCCGGCACTGGGACTCCTGCAAGGGTGGGTTGTGGGACAGGTGCCAACAGCTGTCCCTGATGCCACCACGATACCCAGGTGAGCTCGGGGTTTCATTTGGGGGAAAAAAGGCTGAAAGCTGAACTCTCTGCCCAGGCAGCGCTGCCGCAGCAGCCGATGGCAGATGGATGTCACCACAGAAGCACCTCTGGCCGGGCAGCAATTAATCATGGAGCTGTGATTGCCCTGCTGTCTGGCAGGGGAAGGGAGGGGGCTCGAGCCTTGCCCTGGTGCTGGGGAGGGGGCTGATAGGCAGAAAATTTTGCATCGAGCTGCAAGTCCTGTGAAACAATTGCAGGAAATCTCCTTTTTCGAGTGCAGACAAGACTTTGGGATCAACAATTGGCTCGGAAGGAAGGCACGGCTGGAGTGGGGAAGCACGAGGGCACTGATAAGTCGGGTCTCACAACAACAAGCCCAGCCTGGTGACCCCGTGTGCAGGTACCAGCCCTGGCAGGACCCAGGGTCCAGGTTCCAAACAGGAACTTGGCAGCTTCGTGCTCACCCTGGGCACATTTTGGCTCGGCTGGGTCCACCGGGGTGAAGAGGAGCTGCTCTGCCAGGGAGGGGCTGGGGGTCTTTGCCCCCCACCCAAGGGGAAAGGGATGCTGTGCTGGTTCTATTTAAGAGGTCAGGGAATTTCCACTCAGAACTGTGGGATTGAGAAGGACCAGGATGTTGCCGGAGGGATGTGAGCACAGGTGTCCCAGGGCAGGTGCAGCTGAGGCTGCAGTGTCACCTCCCAGGAGCTCATTGCACTGATCCAGGCCCTGGGGACACCTGGAACGTGACGTGTGGGGGCTGCTGGGGATGTCGTGCTGCTTTGCCAAGCTGAAGAAAGTGTTCTGGAGAAGCTTCCTCAGCACTGCTCTAGTGCTGCAGTCAAGTGCCCAACCTCAGGGACCTGCCCCTCAGCTACTGATCACTAATCTGCTCTTAATTAGCAGGATGAGTGAGCAGGGATCACCACCCACACGCCCAGGGGATGGATAAACACCCTGCCTTTCCCAGCGCGTTCCCTGCCAGCTGACCCGGGACATCCCTGAGGACGCGGCTGCTCCAGGCACAGGCGGGAGCCGGGGTCCTGCCACGGGAGGGGTCACCCAGCACCACGGCCAGGGGGCCATCGGACACCTCGGAGGCACCACGAGCAGCCCCAGCGTTGCACCAGCTTTATTGAGCACGACGCCAGGGGCACGGGGAGAGCGGGCACCGTGCCCGTGTCCCGCCCCGCCGGCCGTCCTCAGGGGCTCCCGCGGGCCGGGGTGGGCAGGAAGAGGCCCAGGAGGGCGTCGGCCAGCCAGGCCGGGCAGTAGCTGAGCGGCAGGAAGAAGAGCCGGGCGTCCCAGCCGACGGTGTAGCGGCTGCGGGGGCAGCGGGACAGCAGCGCGTGGGTCATGGCACCGGTGACGGGGGACAGGCGGGAGCTGCACAGGCGGTGCACGAGGGCGGCGATCTTGGACACTGGGGGGGCAGAGCGGGGTCAGCCCGGGGGTGATGGGGTCACCGGGGGTGATGGGCTCACCGGGGGTGATGGGGTCACCGGGGGTGGTGGGGTCACCGGGGGTGATGGGCTCACCGGGGGTGGTGGGGTCACTGGGGGTGATGGGCTCACCGGGGGTGATGGGGTCACTGGGGGTGATGGGCTCACTGGGGGTGATGGGGTCACTGGGGGTGATGGGCTCACCAGGGGTGATGGGGTCACCGGGGGTGATGGTGCCGCGTGGGGACGGACTCACGTCTGTCTGGGTACCGGTGCCCGTAGACTGCCCGGGCCTCTGCCGGGAGCCGCTCCCAGAGGCGCGTGAAGTCCTTGGCCAGCGGCGCGGGGTCGATCATCGCCGTCTGGAAGCCGCCGGGTTCGATGATGGAGACCTGCACCCTGAAAGGACGCATCTCCCGCCTGCCCGAGGGGGGGACATGAGCCAGAGCTGCTGTCCCGAGCTGGGCAAGGGCTGGGGCAGAGAGGGGGAGCCCGTGACCCCTACCAGGCACCCCGTCATAAACACAGAGGAGCCTTGTCCTCGCTCAAGAGCCTTGGAAACCCTTCACCTCATTGCATAACTGCGGCTCCAGCCGTGCCCGTGTTCCCACCCCGTGGCCTGGTCAGGGTTTCACAAGGTCTGTGGGAGCCACACAGAACCCCGTGTGGGGGCAGCGAGGCAGAGCAGGGGCTGCTGACGAGCACAGGGAAGCGCTGGGGGCCACCAGTGCCGTACCTGAGGCTGTCGGAGAAGGCCTCCACGCCGAACTTGGAGATGCAGTACCCGCCGCCGAAAAAGGAGACGCGGCCCATCACACTGGCCACGTTGACCACGCGGCCCCGCGCCCGCCGCACCAGCGGCAGGAGGCTCAGGGTCACCTCCACCAGCCCCACCAGGTTGACATCCAGCACCTTCATGAAGTCGTCCTTGCTCAGCCACTCATTTGGGCCAATGGGGGTCCCGATGCCTGCGTTGTTCACCAGCCCCCAGAGCCCTGCAGAGGGGACGGGATGAGCTGGGGCTGCTCCACGGCCCCACGCCCAGACCCGGCTGTGCCAGCGCAGGCGGGAGGGGGCTGCTGGGGTGACAGTGGGGGTGACAGCGGGGCGTCTGCCCCAGCCTACCTCGGTCACCCACGCGCTCCCGCACCCAGGCGCTGGCGGCGGCGATGCTCTGGCTGGAGGTGACGTCCAGCAGGACGGTCTGGAGCCGCGGCGAGGTGGCCGCCCGCAGCCGCGCCGCCCCGGCCTCGGTCAGGCAGGCGGCCAGGACCCGCAGCCCGCGCCCGTCCAGCTGCCGCGCCAGCAGGTTCCCGAAGCCGCTGTCGCAGCCCGTGATCAGCACGTGCTTCTCCCGGAGCCCCGGCACCGTCTGCCGCTCCCGGTGCCAGCGCCGCAGCAGGAGCAGCCCCGCCAGCACCGCCGCCACGCACAGCCACATCCTCGGCACCGGCACCGCTCACTGACAGCCCGGGACGGCCGCACTCGGGCCATTTATACAGAGCCGGGATTGCGGCAGAACCTGGGGCCAACTTTGCCTTCCTGGTTTGCAATCCCCAGCTCTGCCTTGCACCACTCCCTGTCCCTGGGGCTCTGCTGTGCCCTTAGCAGGTGAATGCCGCTGCCCCCCAGAGCTGGGTTTGGCTCCACTCTCCAGCCCCAACCTCGGACCCTTCCCTCTCGCCCGCCTTTGGTGGGGGACGGTGTCCCCAGCCACGGCAGTGGAGTGGGGCAGCCCCCACCCAGCGGCTCTGCAGGAGAAGGAGCAGGAGGAGAAAGTGGAGGAGGAGGAGGAAGATGCTATTAGAGGCTTCCCAGCCCTGGGCCCAGAGGCAAATCTGCCCAGATTAAAACAGGCGTGGGTTTGATTTGTGTGTGTGAATCCCTGGAGTGCCACTTTGGACAAGTCCAGCAGTGGCTCCCCCAGTGGGGTCCAGACCCTGTGGGGAGCAGCACCTGGGGGAACAGCCAGAGCCCCCAGGAGCCCCCACGACACAGCCTCAGTGCCACCACTGTGCCAGGAGTGTAATGGGGGGGTCTTTATTCAGGACAAAGCCGTCTGTGGGCAGGGAACAAACTCGGGGACCTCAGCATGGCCTCGGGCGATGTCGGATCTCACCTTGCGCCGCCAGATCCCCCCACACGTCACCAGCCCCTGGCTTAGGCATCGCAGTGCCTCAGCCTGGCATCCCTGCCTTAGGCTTTCACCACGGATTTGGAGAAGAACAAGGTGAACACAATGTCCGTGAGGGCCGAGGGCAGGTAGCTGAGGGGGATGTAGAGCAGCTTGGCGTCCCAGCCGGCGGAGTAGCGGGCGCGGGGGTGGAGGCTGGTCAGTGCGTGCTCCATGCAGTCCGTGACCAGAGACAGGTCGCAGTTGTAGCTCTTCTGCATTATCTTCGTATACGCCACAACTGCAGAGGCAGAAAATGCCACTGAGACCCCGAAGCCAAGCAGCTTGGTGGGGTGTTGGGCTGGTGGGACCCCCGTGGGACCCCCCTGATTCCGGGGATGTGCCTCGTGTCAGGAGAGAAACGGCATCACTCAGCCTTTGGGAGAGGTACTTACACTGCTTCAAGTAATTCTCCCCATAACTTGTTTTGATTTCCTCTGGAAGCTTCTCCCAGGTGGAAAGAAAATTTCTCTCCAGGTTCTCGACGTTGGCGATCATCGTGTTGAAGTAGCCTGGCTCGATCACACTGACCTTCACCCCGAAGTTGCGCATCTCAAGCCTGGAAGGGACCAAGTGCCATGGGACACGGGACCAGCGCTGGAATGTGCCCATGGCTGCCTCTCCCATGAGATTTACAGCAGCCTCGTGCCAGAGGAGCAGAGCAAGACCATCCAGCTGGACCCCGTGCCTGAGCACGTGGTTGAGGCAGCATGTGAGCAAACATGTGCCACATCTGGATGGACTGGTCTGGGGACAAAGCGAAGGTCAGGACTGCAGGGCTCTGCCCAACCGATCCCGGATGGGGGCAGGATCTGATAGGGAGGCTCCGTGCCAGGACAGGTGCCGTTCACGCTTCAGCAGCAGCTACAAGCCATCGACCCGTGCTCGGCTGTGGTGCCGCGAGGATGGGGACTGAGAGCTGTGCCAGGCAAAGTCCAGAAAAACAAACTGGGAAATCAGGATGGTGCCACGCCAGACTCACCTGAGGCTGTCGGAGAAGGCCTCCACGCCGAACTTGGAGATGCAGTACCCGCCGCCGAAAAAGGAGACGCGGCCCATCACACTGGCCACGTTGACCACGCGGCCCCGTGCCCGCCGCACCAGCGGCAGGAGGCTCAGGGTCACCTCCACCAGCCCCACCAGGTTGACATCCAGCACCTTCATGAAGTCGTCCTTGCTCAGCCACTCGTTCGGGGCAGTGGGGATGGCGATGCCTGCGTTGTTCACCAGCCCCCAGAGCCCTGCAGAGGGGACGGGATGAGCTGGGGCCGCTCCACGGCCCCACGCCCAGACCCGGCTGTGCCAGCGCAGGCGAGAGGGGGCTGCTGGGGTGACAGTGGGGGTGACAGCGGGGCGTCTGCCCCAGCCTACCTCGGTCACCCACGCGCTCCCGCACCCAGGCGCTGGCGGCGGCGATGCTCTGGCTGGAGGTGACGTCCAGCAGGACGGTCTGGAGCCGCGGCGAGGTGGCCGCCCGCAGCCGCGCCGCCCCGGCCTCGGTCAGGCAGGCGGCCAGGACCCGCAGCCCGCGCCCGTCCAGCTGCCGCGCCAGCAGGTTCCCGAAGCCGCTGTCGCAGCCCGTGATCAGCACGTGCTTCTCCCGGAGCCCCGGCACCGTCTGCCGCTCCCGGTGCCAGCGCCGCAGCAGGAGCAGCCCCGCCAGCACCGCCGCCACGCACAGCCACATCCTCGGCACCGGCACCGCTCACTGACAGCCCGGGACGGCCGCACTCGGGCCATTTATACAGAGCCGGGATTGCGGCAGAACCTGGGGCCAACTTTGCCTTCCTGGTTTGCAATCCCCAGCTCTGCCTTGCACCACTCCCTGTCCCTGGGGCTCTGCTGTGCCCTTAGCAGGTGAATGCCGCTGCCCCCCAGAGCTGGGTTTGGCTCCACTCTCCAGCCCCAACCTCGGACCCTTCCCTCTCGCCCGCCTTTGGTGGGGGACGGTGTCCCCAGCCACGGCAGTGGAGTGGGGCAGCCCCCACCCAGCGGCTCTGCAGGAGAAGGAGCAGGAGGAGAAAGTGGAGGAGGAGGAGGAAGATGCTATTAGAGGCTTCCCAGCCCTGGGCCCAGAGGCAAATCTGCCCAGATTAAAACAGGCGTGGGTTTGATTTGTGTGTGTGAATCCCTGGAGTGCCACTTTGGACAAGTCCAGCAGTGGCTCCCCCAGTGGGGTCCAGACCCTGTGGGGAGCAGCACCTGGGGGAACAGCCAGAGCCCCCAGGAGCCCCCACGACACAGCCTCAGTGCCACCACTGTGCCAGGAGTGTAATGGGGGGGTCTTTATTCAGGACAAAGCCGTCTGTGGGCAGGGAACAAACTCGGGGACCTCAGCATGGCCTCGGGCGATGTCGGATCTCACCTTGCGCCGCCAGATCCCCCCACACGTCACCAGCCCCTGGCTTAGGCATCGCAGTGCCTCAGCCTGGCATCCCTGCCTTAGGCTTTCACCACGGATTTGGAGAAGAACAAGGTGAACACAATGTCCGTGAGGGCCGAGGGCAGGTAGCTGAGGGGGATGTAGAGCAGCTTGGCGTCCCAGCCGGCGGAGTAGCGGGCGCGGGGGTGGAGGCTGGTCAGTGCGTGCTCCATGCAGTCCGTGACCAGAGACAGGTCGCAGTTGTAGCTCTTCTGCATTATCTTCAGTGATGCCACAACTGCAGAGGCAGAAAATGCCACTGAGACCCCGAAGCCAAGCAGCTTGGTGGGGTGTTGGGCTGGTGGGACCCCCGTGGGACCCCCCTCGTGTCAGGAGAGAAACGGCATCACTCAGCCTTTGGGAGAGGTACTTACGCTGTTTCAAGTAACTCTCCCCATAACTTGTTTTGATTTCCTCTGGAAGCTTCTCCCAGGTAGAAAGAAAATTTCTCTCCAGGTTCTCGACGTTGGTGATCATCGTGTTGAAGTAGCCTGGCTCGATCACACTGACCTTCACCCCGAAGTTGCGCATCTCAAGCCTGGAAGGGACCAAGTGCCATGGGACACGGGACCAGCACTGGAATGTGCCCATGGCTGCCTCTCCCATGAGATTTACAGCAGCCTCGTGCCAGAGGAGCAGAGCAAGACCATCCAGCTGGACCCCGTGCCTGAGCACGTGGTTGAGGCAGCATGTGAGCAAACATGTGCCACATCTGGATGGACTGGTCTGGGGACAAAGCGAAGGTCAGGACTGCAGGGCTCTGCCCAACCGATCCCGGATGGGGGCAGGATCTGATAGGGAGGCTCCGTGCCAGGACAGGTGCCGTTCACGCTTCAGCAGCAGCTACAAGCCATCGACCCGTGCTCGGCTGTGGTGCCGCGAGGATGGGGACTGAGAGCTGTGCCAGGCAAAGTCCAGAAAAACAAACTGGGAAATCAGGACGGTGCCACGCCAGACTCACCTGAGGCTGTCGGAGAAGGCCTCCACGCCGAACTTGGAGATGCAGTACCCGCCGCCGAAAAAGGAGACGCGGCCCATCACACTGGCCACGTTGACCACGCGGCCCCGCGCCCGCCGCACCAGCGGCAGGAGGCTCAGGGTCACCTCCACCAGCCCCACCAGGTTGACATCCAGCACCTTCATGAAGTCGTCCTTGCTCAGCCACTCGTTCGGGGCAGTGGGGATGGCGATGCCTGCGTTGTTCACCAGCCCCCAGAGCCCTGCAGAGGGGACGGGATGAGCTGGGGCCGCTCCACGGCCCCACGCCCAGACCCGGCTGTGCCAGCGCAGGCGAGAGGGGGCTGCTGGGGTGACAGTGGGGGTGACAGCGGGGCGTCTGCCCCAGCCTACCTCGGTCACCCACGCGCTCCCGCACCCAGGCGCTGGCGGCGGCGATGCTCTGGCTGGAGGTGACGTCCAGCAGGACGGTCTGGAGCCGCGGCGAGGTGGCCGCCCGCAGCCGCGCCGCCCCGGCCTCGGTCAGGCAGGCGGCCAGGACCCGCAGCCCGCGCCCGTCCAGCTGCCGCGCCAGCAGGTTCCCGAAGCCGCTGTCGCAGCCCGTGATCAGCACGTGCTTCTCCCGGAGCCCCGGCACCGTCTGCCGCTCCCGGTGCCAGCGCCGCAGCAGGAGCAGCCCCGCCAGCACCGCCGCCACGCACAGCCACATCCTCGGCACCGGCACCGGCACCGGGACTGGGAAAGGAACCGACCTTGGCCGTGCCCGCTCGCCGCTGTTAATGATTAATTAGCGGAGCCCCGGGGCAACCATCGCGGAAGGGCCGCGGGACCTCCCGATAGGAACGGGGGCGGCTCCGCCCCGTCCGTGTCCATCCTCCGGCCCGGGGCTCGTCCCGGTGCTGCCGCCTGGAGCTCGCCGTGCTGCGGGCTCTGCCCCGGGCTGTGTCCCGGTCCCGGGGCTCTGCTGCGGCCGCTGCTGCGGGGAATCGTTAACGGGAGCGGGGCAGCGCCCGGGGGCTCCCGCACCGCTGCGCTGCCGCCCCGGGAGCCCCCCGGGCGCCGGGACACCCCCGGACCCCGGGACACCCCCGGGACACCCGTCCTGGCCCCCAGCCGGAGCCGGCACATCCCCGGGACATCTCCGGGCCCGGGGTCACCCCGGTCGCCCCCGGGCTTCAGCGCGCCGCGATCGCCCCGGAGCATCCCCGGGACTCCTGCGGTGCCTTGTCCCGCCCCCGGCCCCGCGGCAGGACTACATCTCCCGGCGGCCCCCGGGCCCGGCCCCGCTCCGCTCCCGCCATGGCGCCGTTCGAGCCGGCGGCGCTGCCCGAGCTGCTCCCGGTCTTCTACCGGCGGCTCTTCCCGCACGGCCCCTACGGCCGCTGGCTCGGCTACGGCGGCGGTACCGGGCGGGGGGCACCGAGACGGGATGGGGGGCATCGATACTGGGTGGGGGGCATCGATACGGGATTGGGGGCATCGATACGGGGTGGGGGGTATCGATACTGGACGGGGGGTATCGATACTGGGTGGGGGGTATCGATACTGGACGGGGGGTATCGATAAGGGATGGGGGGCGTCGATATTGTGGTGAGGGCATTGTCACTCCCCCCGACCCTTCCATGCCCCCGCAGTGGTGAAGAACTACTTCCAGCTGCGGGAATTCTCCTTCACGCTGCGGGACGACGTGTACGTGCGGTTCCAGTCCTTCAGCAGCCCCCAGGAGCTGGAGCGGGAGCTGCAGAAGATCAACCCCTACAAGATCGACATCGGGGCCGTCTACTCCCACCGGGTGAGTGAGTCCCGGGCACCGTGCTCGGGGTCCGTGGGAGTCCCTGATTCACTGAGCCCGTCCCGTCCCTCCCGCAGCCCAACCAGCACAACACGGTGCGCCCGGGGGCCTTCCAGCCGCAGGAGAAGGAGCTGGTCTTCGACATCGACATGACGGACTACGACGACGTCCGGACGTGCTGCAGGTTCCCGGGGGGAATTCTGGGCCGGGAGGAGGATCTGGGGGTGTGGGGCAGCCGCCTGACCCACCACACTCTGCCCCCAGCTCGGCCGATATCTGCTCCAAGTGCTGGACGCTGATGACCATCGCCGTCCGCGTCATCGACCGCGCGCTCACGGGTGAGGGTCTGGGGGGCACCTGCAGACCCCTGTGCACGTCTGGGGGGCACACGTGGACGCCTCTGCACACGCAGCCCACGCTCTGCCCCACAGCAATGCCCAGACCTCGAAGAAGAGCCGGGGCAGAACTCTGGCGGGGCCGGGGGACATGCCGGTGCCCGGTGGGTTTGTGGCACCACCAGCGTTGGGTGGTCGCCACAGTCCATCCCGATGTGCCCCCAAACCCGTCTGTGCCCCCTGCAGAGGACCTGGGCATGAGGCATCGCCTGTGGGTGTACTCGGGCCGGAGGGGTGTCCACTGCTGGGTGTGTGATGATGCGGTGAGGAAATGGTCCCCAGCGCTGCGGGCGGCCACCGTGGAGTACCTGACCCTGGTGAAGGTGGGTGTGTGGGGGTCTGGGATGCCCTGACCCCGGTGAAGGTGGGTGTGTGGGGGTCTGGGATGCCCTGACCCTGGTGAAGGTGGGTGTGTGGGGGTCTGGGATGCCCTGACCCCGGTGAAGGTGGGTGTGTGGGGGTCTGGGATGCCCTGACCCTGGTGAAGGTGGGTGTGTGGGGGTCTGGGATGCCCTGACCCCGGTGAAGGTGGGTGTGTGGGGGTCTGGGATGCCCTGACCCCGGTGAAGGTGGGTGTGTGGGGGTCTGGGATGCCCTGACCCCGGTGAAGGTGGGCATATGGTGGTCTGGGCACCCCTGACCCTGGTGACGGTGGGTGCACAGGGGTCCAGGCACCCCTGCCTGCCCCCCCAGGCTGAGCACCCCTGTCCCCGCAGGGCAGAGCAGACACGGTGAAGAAGGTGAACCTCTCCTACCCCGTGCACCCCTTCATCAGGTGGGTGGGGACCCCCTTGCCCGGCCCCGCAGCCCCCGGCGGGCGCTGAGCCCGTCCCGCTCTCCGCAGGCGCTCGGTGGCCGTGGTGGAGAAGTACTTCGAGGAGTATGCGCTGGTGGGGCAGGACATCCTGGGCAGCCCCGAGAGCTGGGACAAGGTGCTGGCCCTGGTCCCGGAGGATATCCTTCCTGGTGCCGGGGCCGGAGGGAGGGTCGGTGGGGTCGGTGGGGTCCAGGCGGAGCGCGGGACGAGCCTTGACCGCCGGCACAGCACCGCGAGGCGCTGCAGGGCGAGTTCCCGCGCAGGAAGGACTCGGTGCAGCGCTGGGAGGTGCTGCGGGGCCGCATGGAGCGGACGCGGGGCCGCGGGGCCGCCCCGTGCTACGCGGACTGGGAGATCATGCTGCAGTTCTGCTTCCCCCGCCTCGACATCAACGTCAGCAAGGGCGTGGGGCACCTGCTCAAGAGCCCCTTCAGCGTCCACCCCAAAACGGGTGGGTGTGGGGCCGGACCCCGCGGGGGGACCCCCAGGGCGGTCCCCACAGTGACACCCCCCTCTCTCTCTCTCTAAGGCCGCATTTCGGTGCCGCTGGACCTGCAGACACTGGACCAGTTTGACCCGTTCGCTGTCCCCACCATCACGTGCGTGAGCGGGGCGGCAGCGCTGAGGGCGGGGTCCTGGTGGTGCCACAGCCCCAAAACCTCACCCTGGTTCTCCCACAGCTCCCTGTGCCACGAGCTGGACACGGCTGGCAGCGATGGGGAGCAGGAGGACGTCGGGGAGACGGAGCCGAAGCGCCGGGCGAGGGGTGAGGGGGGTCTGGGTGGGCGTGAGGGGGGTCAGGGCCGGGGCGAGGGGGGTCCCCAGCACCCCTGCTCACTCCCCCCAACCCTCCAGACTACAAGAGGACGAGCCTGGCTCCCTACGTGAGGGTCTTCGAGCAGTTCGTGGAGGGCATGGAGAGCGCCCGGCGGGGGGAGCGGCTGCGCCGGAGCGGTGGGTGCCGGGAGGGGGAGACCCCCTGGCTCTGAGAAACGGCTCTTTTTCTGGAAAAATTCCCGTTTCTCCTCTTGACAGACATTCAAGGAGACTTCTGAGGCCTTGCTGCCAGGGGTCCTGGATGAAGGGACGGCGAGGGAGCGACGGCCATTGTCACTTCTGTGCTTGTCATTGTCACCTCAGCTGCCCAGGGGGGTCCCGGTGCCTTGGAGCAGCCGAACTGCACCGCCTCCGTTCCTCACTCACAGCCCCTTACACTTTTTGTACTTTTTGTACCTTTTCTACACAAAAACCATTAAATGTTTCTGGTCACCCTTGTGCTGTGCCTGAGGTGGGCGGGGCTCTGTGTGTGGGGTCTGTGTGGGTTCTGTGTGGGGTCTGCATTTGGGGTCTATTTGGGGTCTGTGTCCCTCCCCGTGGGGAGGAGCTGAGGGGATATCCCTGCTCTGCAATGCGGGGTCTCTGCCCCCCAAAACCCAGCCTGTACCCCATGCCCTGACCCCCTACCCCTGCCCACTGCTGAGGTCAAGGCCCACATTCACAGCACCTCATCCCCCCACCCGGGGCGTTCCTCGCTTCCCTCCCACGGGGGTCCCGCCGCACCCCGGGGGGGGTCCCCACGTCCATAGTGGGGGCGACCCGAACAGAGCCCGGAACTCCGGAGCGCGGCCCTGGGGGCGGGCCGGGCCATGTTGCCGGGCGCTCCCCCCTGCCCCGGAAGTGCCGTGCTCCCGGAAGCCGCGCTCCCTTCACGGTCTCTTTCCGCCGCCATCTTGGGCCCCGCTCCCCGCACAGTGAGTCCCGCGCCGCCATCCGCCGCCATCCGCCGCCGCGGGGGCCGCGGCGCGCCCGGGAGGACCCGTTGGAGGCCGGCGATGCGGCCGCGGGCGCGCCGGGCAGGGCGGCGGGGGCGGTCCCGCGCACTGGGGGCGAGAGGGGGGGAGAAGGGGGCGGCCGAGGCCCGGGGTCGGGACGGAGCTCAGGCTCGGCCCGGGCCGTGCGGGGGAGTTGTCTCGGTAGATTGCCACAGTAGCGGGAGGCGCTCGGTGCTCCGGAGCGCGGGGATGCGGGGAGGGCGAGTTACCGGCGCCCGGTGGTCGCCCCGCCGGGCTGTCCCGGAGCCCCGGCGAGCCCGGGCCTGTCGCTTTGTGCCTCCCTCCCGCAGAAATGCCCGGCGAAGCCACAGAAACCGTCCCGGCCACGGAGCAGGAGCTGCCGCAGCCGCAGGCGGAGACAGGTGAGGCCGGGGGGCTCCAGGGCGGTTTTGGGGCTGAGGCCGGGAGAGGGTCACGGTTTTGGGGTCGATTCCCGGGATCCCCCCGCCCGGCGGGATCTGAGGGCGGGAGGGGGGAGCTGCAGCCCCCCGGTGAGGGCGGGGAGGGGGTCGCGGACCCGGTGGCGGGTGAGCGACACCAGCTCGAGTGTTGTCACCTCCGCCAGGGGGGTTTGGGGTCTCTGTTCCACGGCCCCTCCTCTTCCTCTGTGTCCCTTTGCTGCGGCCAAAACAAATCCGTGCCGGTTCCGCTTTGTTTCCCACCCCAGAACACGTGGGATATCCCACAGGGAGCGTGACCGGAGTGGAGCGGTGGGGTCTGCTCGATTGGATTTGGGGATCTCTCCCTGTTGGATTTGGGGATCTGCCTCATTGGATTTGGGGGCTCCCATTGGATTTGGGGCTCCCCATGGTTGGTGGCAGAGCCGAGTGACAGCTGTTGGCGTGACAGCTGTGCCAGGGATTCCCGGGGAGCTCCTGGTTCCTCGTAGCTGGAATTCCTGGCTGGGGCCCCCTCCCCGGATGGCTTTTCCGTCCCTCTCCACTGACAACTCACACCCTCCTCCTCCCAAAATTCCACTGCTGTCAAGTCTCTAACGGTGTCATGGGAGTCCTGAGGCAGCTCCTTGGATTTTGTCTGGTTCTGTGGAGGTTGGCTGGTCCCCTGGAAAACCCCTGGAGATGGGGCTGATCCAGGGGTTCAGCTCTTGGCAGGCTCTGCCGCTCAGGTGGTTTGAGCATCCCTTACAAATTCCGTGTCTTTTGGGAATCCTGCGGCTTGACTTTGTTGGAGAAGGGGCCAAGGAGAGGTGGGGCTGTGGGTGATGAGTGGGAATGGTGGTGTTTATCGGGAATGTCCTCAAACGGTGCCATCGGAGCTGGTGGAGGAGCAGGGATGAAGGACTGTTGGGAGGAGGCAGCTCTGCACAGTTCCACGATGGGCCCTTGGCAGGACTTGTTGCTCCTTCCTGAGGCAGCAGCGTGTTCCTTGGAGCAGGAATTGTCCTGGCACCGATGTCCAGCTCCAGGCTGGTCAGGACAGGTGGAGCTAAAATCGGGCATTAGAAACATCTTCTGGGACGCCATTCCTGGGGCAGGGAACGGGTTGTTGTTCCCCACGGAGAGCCCCACACACGTGTCCCGCTCCAGGTGGCAGCGAGACAGGGACACGAGTGTGACCCCGATCCCGGGGTGGGACGGGGACAGCGGGCAGGGCCACACAGAGCTGGGAGGGCCCTGCTGCTCCCAGGATCCACGGAACTGGGCTGGCTTTGGTTCTGCAGTTGTTGGGGATCCTCCCTGGCCCCGCTGCGCTCGCCGGACGTGCCGGGACGCGCTGCCGGAGGGCGGCACCGCGGCCGGGCCGGTTCTGCTCTCCCGACCGGCGGCAGGGCCGGTCACACTGGTCAGACCAGCACTGCCCTCTTCCCTGAGCAGCAGCCTTTGATTGGCACTGGGAATGGCAGGGCTCTCTCCAGGCTCTTCCCTGAGCAGTGCCCTTCGCTCGGAGTTGGGAATTGTGTTGGGATTGGCAGGGCTCTCTCCAGGCTCCCTCAGCACTGGTTCAGGGAGCTGGAAGCTGAGCACTCTCAGTCAGTGGGACGAGCCTTAATAAACTGTTGTTCTCCCCGTCCAGCTCCAGCTGCCCCCGTTCCTGCTCCCATCCCTGCTCCAGGTACTCGGGATGTCCTGTAACCGCTCATTAACCGTGTGCCGTTCCGGGGGTTGCAGTTCCATTAACCCTAACAGCTCCCAGGGGGCTCTGGGGGTCCCGGCCCCACCACCCCCTGCCTTGTGTCCCTGTCCCCTCAGGGCACCTGCCTGTGTCACCCAGGGCTGGAGGGAGGGGGCTCCCAGAGCGCTCCAGGAACAATTCCGCATGCCAGTGGGTTACATTTGACTTCCTTCCTCTCCTCAAGGGGGTCCTTGTCCCTCCCTGCTCCCACCAGCCTGGGGTGTGATCCCAGGCTCGGGAGCAGCCCTGGGGGTCCCACCAGACCTCCATGGAGGTTGTGGCAACTCCTTTGGTAGAGAAGAGCTGGCAGTAGAGTCAGGTCCCTGCACCCCCAGCCCGATGGGGCTTCCTGGTGGTTCAGCTGGTGCCTCCTGCCATTCCAGGGCTCCCGGGAAAATCAGTGCTGGTTTCTGGAAGGGATGACCCCGTGTGGACCCCGGCAGGCTGGGCAGTGTCTGCTGCTCTAGAGGCTGGGTGCCAAGGCCGGGAGGAAGGCCAGGGCAGGCTCCCTGTCCCCTCCCTCCCTCCCTCCCTCCCTCCTCTCATGGCTCACTCTGTTTCTCTCCTTTAGCTGTTCTTCATGCTGCTCATTCCCCACCTCTGACTCCATCTCCATCTGCCCAGGCTCTCCCAGCGCAGCCACCCAGCGCTGCTGCCACGGCTCTGCCGGGCCCCCCAGCCCCCACCTCCCCCGCCGTGGTCCCGGCCGTGGCCACCCCCGTGTTCTCTGTGCCTCCCCAGCCCCCTGCCCCAGCTTTGCCGGGCCCAGTCACCACTTCCCCTCCTCTGGCTCCGCCGTCCCCTGTGGGTTTTGCAGCCCCGGGATCTCCAGGGCCTGCCCCAGTTAGCCCAGGATCTCCAGGACTCCAGGCTCCGGTGTCCCCTGCTCTGGCTGCTGCTCCTGCTGCTCTCAGCTCTCCTGTGAAAGCTGCTCCTGCTGCTGTCCCTCTGAGCCCAGCAGGAGCTGCAGCCCCAGCCCCTCTCCCTACTCCTGGAGCAGCCCCAGTCCCCCTCCTGCCTCCCCCTTCCCAACCCCTTGTGGCATCTCCCCCACCAAAAGTGTCCCCCACTTTCCTGCCTGCTCCCACCGTGGCAGTGAGTCCCCAGAGCCCGGGCTCGCCCCCCGTTCCTGCAGCCCCTCTCAGCCCTGCCGTGTCCCCGGCAGTCCCGGTGTCTCCTGGCAGTCCTGCCTCCACCCCTCTGGCTTCTGTTCCAGCCTCTCCTCAAGCCCCAGCTCTGACTCAGTGCCCGGCCCTGGTTGGTGCCATCTCTCCACCCGTCTTCCTGGCTGCCCCCAAGGCCCCCTTGTCACCCCCCATCCCTCTGCTGCCAGCTGGGATGTCCCCTGGGTGTCCTGCTGTCCCAGCCCCTGGTGCTCCAGTCTCTCCACTGGTCCCAGTTGGTCCATCTGCTGCCAGGGCCTGTCCCGTGGGCCCTGCCCCAGTGGCCCCAGCTGTGGGGCACCTGGTCCCTCCCTCGGTGGCCAGGACCCCTCCTGGGAGCCCGGACCCTCAGGCAGCGCCTGTGGCAGCTCCTGTGGCTCCTGCCCTGGCCACACCTGCTCTGGGAGCTGCTGTGTCTCCCCCAGGGCCACCAGCTCCGAGTCCCCTGTTGCCACCAGCAGCTCCTGTGCCCGCTGTCCCCCCTGCCAGCTCCCTGCCTGTCCCACCAGCCATGGCAGCTCCAGCCACCTCTCCTGCAGCCAAACCAGCTCCTACGAGCCCAGTCACTGTCCCAGCTGCCCCCTCTGTCCCTGTCCCACCAGCCATGGCAGCTCCAGCCACCTCTCCTGCAGCCAAACCAGCTCCTACGAGCCCGTCTGCTGCCCCTTCTGTCCCTGTCACACCAGCTGTGGCAGCTCTACCAGCTCCAGCTGCCCCTCCTGCAGCCAAAGAGGCTCCCAAGAGCCCTGTTGCTGCCCCTGCTGTCACCCCAACTCCTGCCACACCAGCTCCAGCCACCCCACCTGCAGCCAAAACTGCTCCCAAGAGCCCTGGTGCTGCTGCCCCAGCTCCTGCCACCCCACCTCCCGCAGCTCCACCAGCTCCAGCTGCCCCCACTGCAGCCAAAGCACCCCCAAAGAGCCCTGTCGAGGCCACCCCACCTCCAGCTGCCCCTGCTGAGGCCAAGGCACCCCCAAAGAGCCCTGTCAAAGCCACCCCAGCTCCAGCTGCCTCCCCAGCAGCCAAAAAGTCTCCCAAGGGCAGCCCTGCCACTGCCCCCTCTGCTCCTGCGGCTCCAGTGCCGGCGGCTCCGGCAGCTCCAGCTGCCCCTGCTGAGGCCAAGGCACCCCCAAAGAGCCCTGCCAAAGCCACCCCACCTCCAGCTGCCCCTTCTGAGGCCAAGGCACCCCCAAAGAGCCCTGTCGAGGCCACCCCACCTCCAGCTGCTCCTGCTGAGGCCAAGGCACCCCCAAAGAGCCCTGTCGAGGCCACCCCACCTCCAGCTGCTCCTGCTGAGGCCAAAGGTTCCCCAAAGAGCCCTGTCAAAGCCACCCCACCTCCAGCTGCCCCTGCTGAGGCCAAGGCACCCCCAAAGAGCCCTGCCAAAGCCACCCCACCTCCAGCTGCCCCTGCTGAGGCCAAGGCACCCCCAAAGAGCCCTGTCAAAGCCACCCCACCTCCAGCTGCCCCTTCTGAGGCCAAGGCACCCCCAAAGAGCCCTGCCAAAGCCACCCCACCTCCAGCTGCTCCTTCTGAGGCCAAGGCACCCCCAAAGAGCCCTGTCAAAGCCACCCCACCTCCAGCTGCCCCTGCTGAGGCCAAAGGTTCCCCAAAGAGCCCTGTCAAAGCCACCCCACCTCCAGCTGCTCCTGCTGAGGCCAAGGCACCCCCAAAGAGCCCTGTCAAAGCCACCCCACCTCCAGCTGCCCCTGCTGAGGCCAAAGGTTCCCCAAAGAGCCCTGTCAAAGCCACCCCTGCTCCAACTGCTCCCCCAGCAGCCAAAGCACCCCTAAAAAGTCCTGTCGAGGCCGCCCCAGCTGTGGCCAAGGCACCCCCCAAGAGCCCTGTTAAAGCCGCCCCCCCGGCAGTCCCGGCACCCGCCCCTCCAGCTCCAGGTGTTCCCGGTGCCCCCCCAAAGCCCCCTGCCCCCCAGAAAGCAGACAGCAGCCATCCTGGCTCTGCCCCGGCAGGGAACCGCCCCCCGCCCACCCCTTCTGCTCCCCCCACAAAGAAGCAGCAGCCCCCCCCCAACAAGGTGGCCAAGGCGGCCCCTTGCCCACCCCAAGCCAAGCCCCCCTCGAAGGCCCCGCCCGGCGCTGACGACGAGGACCTGCCGCCTCTGCTCCCCCCCGAGCCGCCCGTGCTGCTGGACCTCTCCCCCCCCGCGGGGGTCCCGGCCCCCCCGGCGCCGCAGCCGCCGCTCAAGAATGACAAGGGTATTTGCGGTTTGCCGTGTGCATGGAGTGTCACTGGCTGCCCACGGGATACTAACCCCGAGCAGGGCCCCGGGCACGGAGCGAGCCACGGGGAGGGGCAGGGCTCGGCACGGCCCCGGGGTCACTAACGCGTGTCCTCGGCACGGAGCACGGTGTGGCTTGTGGCACGGGCACTGCGAGCGGAGCTGCTGCACACGGGGCTCGGGCGGAGCCGCCCCGGGCCCGTCCTCGCCGCGTGTGGGGTCCCCGTGGGGTCCCCGTGTCCGTCCGGCAGCGCCGGTGCTGTCCCTGCGCTCTGCCTGAAGTGTTGGCAACCCCGGGCACACCCCGGCACCTGCAGAGGGCTTTGCCAGGGCTTCTGTGTGCCGTGGGCACAGAGGCTTTTTCCAGAGCGGGAAACGGGACTGGATCCAGGTAATGGCTGCATGGGAGCATCCCGGCCACCTCCGAGGCCGGGGACACCCGGCTCTGCTTCGGTCACTCGCGTGGTTGGACACGGCTGTGCCAGGGGTCGCAAGTGATGGTGGTGGCACTGCAGATGGTGGCCCTCTGGGCACCCGGAGGGGGCATCAGGGTAATCCCAAATGATCCCTGTAGTGAAGCCATGGATGTGCAGCAGCCCCGAGGGCTCGGTGAGTGGGGCCTCAGTGCTGTGTGTCAAGGGTGCCTGTCACACTGGGCTGCTGCCACCCCAGGAGTGCCACCCACACTCCTCCTGGTGCCTCAGGCTGGAACTTCCTCGGGGGCTTGGCATTCCAGACCCTCCAGGCATCCATGGGGCTCCCGCCATGGTGAGAGCCTGGGGGCAGGCTCTTGTGCCACCCTGCTGATGGTGTTTGGGGTGCCGAGACGGCTCCTGACGGCATTTGGGGCGCACCACTTAACTGGGCTGACTGGTGACTGCACTGGGAACCAGCAGCAAAGGCTGCACCAAAGCAGCTGCAGCCCCTGGACCTGCCTGAGGTGGGAAGAGTGAGGTGTGTGTGTGTTCCTGCAGGGTCTGGAACAGAGTCCGACAGCGACGAATCTGTACCAGAGCTCGAAGAGCAAGACTCCACACAGGCCACGACACAGCAGGCGCAGGTAGGGCGGGTGGCACGTGCCATCCGTGGTGGATCAGGATCCCCGTGGGTGCCTTCCTGTGTCACCTCGGGGTTGTCACGGCTCCCTGTTGTCCCCCCTGCAGCTCGCGGCAGCAGCCGAGATAGATGAAGAACCCGTCAGCAAAGCAAAACAGAGCCGGAGCGAGAAGAAAGCTCGGAAGGTGAGGTGGGGGTGGGCCTGACCTGTCCCTGCTGGGCAGCCCCAGGGCTTGAGGTTGTGCTGGGCACCTCACCAGTCCTGGGACAGGAGCATTCACTCCGGCTGACACCCGGGAATGCTGCTCACTAAGGGCACATTTCCGTGTGTATCCACACAGCGAGCGTTGGACCCGGGCTCTGGAGAGAGAAGTGGGCACATCCGGGCATCTGGAGCTCCTCCTTCCCTCGCTGACCTTCCCCTGGTGTTTTTCAGGCAATGTCCAAACTGGGCCTTCGCCAGGTGACGGGAGTCACCAGGGTCACCATCCGGAAATCCAAGAACATCCTGTTTGTCATCACAAAGCCAGACGTGTACAAGAGCCCGGCGTCAGACACCTACATTGTCTTTGGCGAGGCCAAGGTGAGCCCACCCTGGTAGCACCTGGGGGCCAGCAGGCTCCGTGTTGTCATGTGTGCACTGTGTGGCTCCCACCGTGAGTCCCTGGGGACTGTGCCGAGGGCTGGTTTCCCGGCTGGGCCGTGTGGCAGAGCCGTGGGATGTGCTGGCACCACCCAGGACTGGCCTCAGCTCCACTCCTTCCCTCCTGCAGATCGAAGACCTGTCCCAGCAGGCCCAGCTGGCAGCTGCCGAAAAGTTCAAAGTGCAAGGAGAACCTGTTTCAAACATCCAGGAAAACACACAGACCCCCACCGTGCAGGAGGAGAGCGAGGAAGAGGAGGTAACACCTTCCCCAGCCTGTCTGGGTGGGTCTGCTTTGGGATAATCCGGGGATTCCTTTCCTTCACCCGTGTCTTTGCCGTGGTGGCAAAGGGAGGGTGTGGAGTCCTCCCCCGGGGGGTCTGTGCAGCGCAGGTCTGGCCTCCAGCTCCCATCCCTGTGGGTGGAGCAGGAGCCTCCCCAGTCCAGGCGGTCTCAGGCTGTGCCAGGCCCGGAGCTAGCGCCGATCCCGGGCTCTGTGTGTCCTGCAGGTTGACGAGACGGGTGTGGAGGTGAAAGACATCGAGCTGGTGATGTCGCAGGCGAACGTGTCGCGGGCGAAGGCCGTGCGAGCCCTCAAGAACAACAGCAACGACATCGTAAACGCGATAATGGTGAGTGGTTTGGGGCGTCCTGGGGGCTCTGGGGGGGCTCCTGCTGGCTCCTGACCCCCCTTCTCCCCGCAGGAGCTGACGATGTAGCCGCCGGAGGGAGGAGCCTTTTTTGGTGTTTCAGAGAAGACTAAAATACAGCTAAATTTAAAATTTGTACTATTTCTATCGGTTAATAAAAGTTGTGGCTTATTGTTGGTGAAACACTCGCTGCTCCGTGGTGGTGGGTTGCTGCCCTCCCTTTCCTGGGAGCCCTGGCCCCAGGGTGGAGGCTTCCTCCCGGGAAGATCCCGGCCCTGATACCCCGTCCTGACACCACCTGCCTGTTCCCTCATTTCCTTCCTGCCCCAAAGGACGGCTGGACACGAGCCCGGGGCAGTGGCGTGCCGGGCTCAGTCACTGCAGGGTCTCACCTCCTTCATCCTCCCGGGGTTCCCTTCAAGGGGGGGCTTCTCCTCGCTCCCCTGCAGTGTGTGACGGATGGATGGGGGTGTCGTGGAAGAGGGAAAGGCTGTGGATGTGTCTGCCTGGATGCCACTAAAGCCTTTGATACTGTCTGCCAGAGCATCTTCCTGGAAAAGCTGCAGCCCAGGACTGGGACACTCCTTGGGGTTAAAACCCACCCGGAGAGGGGTGGGGACACGTTCCATGGGGCCATGTCAGGGTCACCTTCACCCATGATCTCAACACGGGGATCAGTGGCACCTCAGTTCACAGACACGGAGTTGGGTGGGATGTGGGTGTGCTGGAGGGCAGGAAGGCTCTGCAGAGGGATCGGGACAGGCTGGATCCAAGGGCTGAGGCCAACGGGGGGAGGGTTAACAAGGCCAAGTGCTGAGTGCTGCCCTTGGGTCACACCATCCCCATGGAGCGCTTCAGCCTGGGGGAAGCAGCTGGAGAGCTGGGAAAGGCCCTGGGTGTGCCAGTGACAGTGGCCGGACATGAGCCCAGGTGGTCAAGGAGGCCAGCGGCCCCTGGGCTGTGCCAGCCACGGTGTGGGCACAGGCCCAGGGCAGGGACTGTCCCCCTGTGCTGGCACTGCTGAGGCTCCTCCAGGGCTGTGCCCAGTTCTGGGCAAGAGAGACACTGAGGGGCTGGAGCGTGTCCAGAGCTGGGGACGGAGCTGGGGAAGGGGCTGGAGAACTGAGGGAGCTGGGGGGGCTCAGCCTGGAGAGGAGGAGGCTCAGGGGGCTCTCACTCTCGCTCTCACAGCCCCCTGAGAGGCGGCGGGAGCGGGGAGGGTTCGGGCTCTGAACGAGGCCCAGGCCGCGTCCATTGGGGGGTCCCGCCCCCCCCCCCCCCCGGTCCCTCCGGCCGCACTGCGCACGCGCGGCCAGAAGCTGCTGGAAGGCGCGGAAGGGCGGGGGGGGGGCCGGCGCATGCGCGGCGCGGGCGCGGCGGCGCGAGGAGGCGGCGGCGGCGCGCGCGGGGATTTTGCTGCGTCACCACGGGCCGAGCGCGCGCGGGGCATTGTGGGAGCGAGGCCGCGCCGAGCCCCGAGCCCGCCCGGAGCCCCCGGAGCCGCCGCCGGAGCCCCCCCGGAGCGCCCCCGGAGCGACCCCCGCCCCGGAGCGACCCCCGGCACCGCCCGCGCGCCCGCAGCGCCGCCCGCAGCACCGCCCGCAGGAGCGCCCGCCGCAGCCGCCGCCAGCCGCCATGTGAGGCCCGGGGGGAGTGGGAGCGGCGCGGGCAAGGCCCCGCCGGGCCGCGGGCGCGGCGATGGGAGCCACCGCCGAGCGCGGGGCTCCGCGCCGCGCGCTGACCTTGGGGCGGCCCCGGCGGGTTCCGTCCCGGTTGGTTTTGCCCCCGGTTGGTTTTGCCCCCGGTTTAACCGCGCTGGGTCCGGCCCCGGTTACCGGGCGAGGGCGGAGCGCCCGCGGTGGGTTTACCGGCGCGGCCCCGGAGTACCGCGGTGCGGGCGGGATGTCCCGCCCCCGCTCGGGGCTGCGCGGAATGAATGGGGCGGCGGGGGGTGTCGGGGGTCGTTGCGCGTTGCCCGGTGGGTTCGGTGGCCACCGGGCACCCGCCGGTCGGTAGCGGCTGAAACGGCGGAAAACTCCCGGTAAGTAGCGCGTGGAGCCGCCCGGAGCGCGCAGACGGGCGAATCTTGTTTACAAACTTCCACTTTTCCACTTAAAACCCATCGCTGGGTTTTGCCCCGTCCCTGGAATGTCCAAGGCCGGGCTGGACGGCGCTCGGAGCAGCCCGGGCTGCTGGAAGGTGTCCCTGCCCATGGCAGGGGTGCAACGGGAGGAGTTTTAAGGTCCCTTCCAACCCAGACCGTTCCACGATTCCGTGAAAGGCCGAGGAATAGCGAGAAGGCCCCTCAGGAGCGGGTGGAAGTGCGGGAACCCGGCGCGGAATCCCCCCGGTGCTGCCCGTGCCCGGCGCGGGTGAGGCGCTGGATCCTCTCCACGTGCATCCCGGGCGGGATCCCGCGCTCCCGGGGAGCCCGAATTAACTGCCTTCCTCGGGGCCCTCCTGGGGCCGCTTCAGCGACCCGAAAGCGGCGTGAGCTGCTCGTGGCAGAGCTCTGGCTCGGTGTGAGTGTTCCCTCAGAACGCGCGGGGAAGACGAGATGGAGTTTCCTTTTCAGAAGGAAATGTGGCCGTGGAAGGGAAGGGCTGCGCTGCTCCCGGAGCTGCCGTTCCCACACCTCCAGCGGCAGGACAAGGGGGAATGGCTTCAGACTGCCAGAGGGCAGGGGTAGGTGGGATACCGGGAAGAAATTCCTCCCTGTCCAGGTGCTGAAGCGCTGGAATGGATTTCCCAGAGGCTGCCCCATCCCTGGAAGTGTCCAAGGCCAGGTTGGACGGGGCTTGGAGCAACCTGGGCTAGTGGAAGGTGTCCCTGCCCGTGGCAGGGGGTGGAATGGGATGAGGGTTATGGTCCCTTCCAGCCCAGGCCATTCCGTGGTTCTGTGACCTCCACGTGTCTGGCTGGAATGTCTGGAGGTTGTAGCACTTGCTGAGGTTTTATTTTGTCAGGAATTTGGTCTGAGGACAGAGTTACCCCTCAGGGACTGGTGGCTTTTGGTCCCTTGTCCCCAGTCAGGCGTTTTACTTGTGTTCTGAAACCCCAGACTGGAGCTGCTTCATCCTAACGTGACTGAAAGCGAGAGGGACGTGATAAAGTTGGACTTTTTTTGTTTAATTTCTGTAAAGTTCATCATCCTGAAACTGCAGCGCTGCTCCCTCTGCATGGAGCTGTCTAAAATCTAAAATGAGGCTTTTTTTAGTTAAAAAAGCACCTTCCCGGGGTTGATAAGTGGAAAGAAAACTAATTTAGTAAAACAGGTTTTATTGCTTTCTGGGGGGTAAATCCTGTTGGGAATCTGACTCCTGCAGTGTCCTCGGGCTGTGGGAGCTCCCAGGATGCTCCCAGGAAACAAAGGCAGGGTTCCATAGGCACAGGATCCAAGGAGCACGAGGACAGGTTTGGAAAGTCCCTGAATCGCCGCGAACAGTGAGATGTGAGATTCCACTCGTGAGTTCAGCGGGTCAGAAGCTGCTGCTGTGCCAGAGACAGGGATATCCAGGGATATCCAGGGATATCCAGGGATATCCAGGCTGGAAGCACAGCCCCCAGGAGCCACCGTGGATCGGGCAGAGCCATGAGGGCTCTGGGGTGAAGCTGAGCCTCCACGTTGCCGATCAGTGCTGCTGGGAAGCTTCTAGAACCTGTTCCACCGTGCTGGAATCACAATTGTCATCGGAATGTGGCGACTGGAAGAGCCAGAGGAGCTTGGGAAGTCCCCAAAACGCGGGTGGATGGGACAGAGGAAACCCTCTGGAGTGGGACACAGTGCCTTGTTCCCCGGGAACCACACGGGAGGGAGCCCGTTGGAGTTACCTCCTCCTTCCCAACGAGCTCGGTCCCGGGGCTGAGGGATAACCAGAGCCCCTTGGCAGGAGGCCGAGGCTCCGTGGGGACAGAACTCTGTGCAACAGGTGATCCTGCTCCCGAGTCCTGGCGTCCGTGAGAGGAGGAGATGGTTCCGTGGGGGTGTGGGAACAGCTCCGGAGCGCTGGGAGCACGTGCAGGGCTGCTGGGTGTGGGTTGTCTCCTGGGAATCTCCGTGTGGGCAGAACGAGCCGCGGCTTCCGCCTCGGCCCAGCTCTGGGCGGCAGCTCCGGCGCGTCCTGCGCTGCTGGTTGGGACGGGGAGCTCTGACTGGAGCTCCCGGGGAGGTTTTCCCTCCTCCCTTTGGGAGGGCGAGATTGGAAAAGCAGATAAAAGAAGGAGAGGCAGCTCCAGCAGGGCCGGAGTGGCAGTTCAGGGTGCGGAATTCCTGGGGAAGCGGCACAGGCTTGGGGGCAGAAACGGGAATTATGGTCGAGTCAAATTTATTTGGGATCTCGTTCCTCTCCAGCTCGGATGTGTGTGTGTTTGCCTTGAGCTGAGCGAGATTTTTGGACGTGCTGTGAGTTTTATGCCCCAAACCCCACTGTGGGCGGAGATGCCGAGGTCACGGCCGAGAGCCGGGCTGTGTGTGGCTCCCTGGGAAGGCTGGAGATGTCTCCATTGACATTGAGAACTGGGAAGTGTTAACACTATTCAGCCCCTGCGTCATCCGGGCAGGGACACTGAGATTTCTGTTGGATAACGGGGCTGGAGTGACGTCCCCCGGTGTCCCACGCTGGGGGTTTTGTCTCCCCACGCAGAGGGAACAGAGTGGGGCGTTTCTCCTCCTCTTTTCCTCTGAGAGTCTTTCATTCCCTGTTAGAAGAGGATACTCGTGCCCAAGAAGGAATTAAAAATACCACAGTAAGAAAACTCCTGCTGTGCTGCTGCACTTTACCTGAGTAAGGTGATAATTAACATTCCCTGAAGTGCAGCTGCAAGGGGAAGCGTCAGGTTTTCTCTCCTGGAACAGCATTTTGCTGAAACTCGAGGTTGAATTCAGAATGCACTTGTTTTTGTGTTCTTGGAAGTTAAATCCTTGGATACTGGCCTCTGACCAGGTGTTCTTGTACCTACCAGAGTGTTGGGGCTGCCAGAGGCATCGTGGCAGTTCCGCTGCTGTCCCAGCCTTTCCCTGAGCTGGCACCGGTGTATCCAAGTCCCCGTGGCACTGGGGGAGCTCAGAGCTGGCTGGTTTGGGGGTCAGCTGGGGCTGGGCTGGGCCCTGCTGTGGTTCATCCTGAGGACATGTGGACGGGAGCAGGTAGGAACGTTTAGGGAACGTGCAGGCCCTCGGTGAGTCACCTCACAAAACGTGTCACAGCCAAGAATTAATCAATTGATGATCAGGTGAGTCAAAACCTGACCTGACAGTTTAGCAAAGGTCACCTTAATAAATGGTCTGAAAAGTTAATAATTGTGCTTATAGAGCAGCACTGAGCCCAAAGGGATGAGTTCTAAGATCCCTCCCAACCCATTCCATGATTCTGTGATCTCAGGAAGACAGAGGAGTGTGAGAAACACCCGTGGCCCCTGTGCCTTAGCAACAGCCCTGCTGGGAGGCTGTTTGGTTCCCCTGGAATGCAGGCGTTCCCTGGGCTTGGCCACAGTTGCCAGGGAATAACTGGAGGGGGGAGGGAGGAGGGAGGAGGGTGTCCAGGCCCTGCTGGGTCTCTTTCCCAGTCCACTGAGCACGGCCAGAGCGTTGCAGGTGAGTCCTCAGCGTGGAACTGCAAACATCACAGTTGCCCTGGACATGCTGTTACTTATTATGGTGGTTTTGGAAAGAGAGGAGAATTCCAAAGTGTGTAGAGTTCCAGTCTGAGTATGCAGGAGGATCTAGGAAGAGTTTGGAGCAAGGATTCTCCAGCTCTCGTACCTGTGCTGACACCAGCTGGGTCTTCATCATAGTAAATCTATTTTTCAGCAGTGTCAGTGCCCCAAAAGGTTTTCTCAGTGGTTTTGCTTGGGCTTGGTTTTAACTCTTAGGGTGACAAAAACCACCCTGAAATCTGCCCAGGCAGCTGTGGGAGGTGGTGGAGCTTCTGCCTCATCTATACTAGCTCATCTTAAAGTTTATCACAATTTTGATCTGCTGAAACATTTATTTCAGTCTCTCAGATTCCAGTGGCTCCTCCCAGGAGCTCTTCGGGGGTGTTACACACTGAATGCATCATTTCTTTTATTCACATCTTTTTTTCATTCTTAAGCACCTTTAAAGATGAGTAATGAGCTCGAAATGCAGGTTTTGAACACAGGAGGGAAGGTTTTCAGTTGAATTTATTGCTGAAATGCCCAAACCTGCTGTGCCCACAGGCAGCCTGCCTCTGCCAAGTGGTACGACCGGAGGGACTACGTCTTTATCGAGTTCTGTGTCGAAGACAGCAAAGATGTTAATGTAAATTTTGAAAAGTCCAAACTCACGTTCAGGTGAGTAACTCGGGCACAGGGAGGTCCCTGAGGGCTGAGGAGAAGCAGATTTGTTCTACAACATGTTCTGGGCTAAACACCAACTTATTTTTCTCTTTGCAGTTGTCTTGGAGGAAGCGATAACTTTAAACATTTAAATGAAATCGACCTTTTTAATAATATCGATCCAAATGTGAGTACCCCGAGTCTCCTCTTGGGTGTTCTTAGTGCTGGAACCTGGTGAGTCACTGGAACAGGTTGTCCAGAGAAACTGTGGATGTTCCATCCCTGGAAGAGTTCAAGGATAGGTTGGATGGGACTTGGACCAACCTGGTCTAGTGGAAGGTGTTCTGCCCACGGCAGGAGGTGGAGTGGGATGATCTTTAACCCAAACCATTCTGGACTTCTGTGGTCCTAAAAAATACCATCTGTTCTTTAGGCTGCTCCTGGGATTTTGGGACAGAGTTCCTTAGCCTGTAAGAATATGCTTGAACTCAGATCTGTGCAAGTGTTTTTCAGGACAGAGTATTTTATCCTGAAGTGTTTTTCAGGATAAAGAATAAGTGGAGAGGTTAAGACAGATGAGGGATGTCAGCAGTTGGTGGTGAAGCTCATCCTGATGGTACTAATGGGTATTTGCTCTTTTTCAGGAATCAAAGCATAAAAGAACAGACAGATCCATCTTATGTTGTTTACGAAAAGGAGAGTCTGGTCAGGCATGGCCAAGGTTAACAAAAGAGAGGGCAAAGGTGGGTTTGGGCACCTGCTGCCCCCCCTGGCTTTTAATTTGTGCATATTTGGGTCGTGTTTGAATTATGGAGCAGTTTTGGGTCACTTTTCCTGCTCCCGATCCGGCGGCAGCTCTCGTTAACCTGCCTGGTCTGGTGACAGCCGGGTACTTCCTCGTCCTTAAAAGATTCCTTGTCCTTAAGTAACTCCTTGTCTTGGTGCAGCTCAACTGGCTCAGCGTGGACTTCAACAACTGGAAAGACTGGGAAGATGATTCAGATGAAGACATGTCCAATTTCGATCGCTTTTCCGAGGTAGGGGGTGATGAATTCCTGCAGTTCGGGGTTTGCAGGGCCATTAATCCCAGTTTTTCTTGCATCCTTACCTTGTAATTCCTGCGTGGGGGCAGCTGTCCTGTCAAAGCAGCGGGGGGCTGTTGGTTTAGAACCATTTCAGGCTGGTTTTGGGAGGAGAATGGGGTTGGACTCACCCCGACTCGTGGCCGTTCTCTCTCTGAGCAGATGATGAACAACATGGGTGGAGACGACGACGTAGATTTGCCAGAAGTAGATGGGGCAGATGATGTGAGTATGTGGTTGGAGTAAACACGGGCAGGGCTGCTTAAGAAGTCTTGTGCTCCCTCTTGAGCACTGCAGAAGGCTTAAATAGCCCCAAACCTTGTTTGGACAGGTGATGTCACCTGGGGAAGTCGCCTCCCTCCCTCTCAGCAGCGCTGAGGGCAGTGGGGCACCATGCAGTTTGGAGTCTGTGTCTCTCTGCAGTGACTGGGGGTTGTCGTGGCTCTGTGGGCTCTGCAGAGGCCAAACTGAGCTCACTGAGTCCTGTGGAACCCGGAGTTCCTCAAAATCCCTGCTCTGCCTACAGGGGATCCAGCTTGCCGCTGGATTTGGGAGCAGCAGCTCGTTCCTGGGGGGTGGTGTTAGAGGAAAGGCCCTTTCAGGGCCATCTGTTCCACTTAATGTTGTTTCTTTTCCTTTGCAGGACTCACCAGACAGCGATGATGAAAGTAAGTTGTTGTTTTCCCCTCACACAGCTGCTGGATGCCTCGGGCAGGGCCGGCAGATGTTCCCCCCGTCCATCCCACTGAGTCCTGGCAGGAGATGAAGCCAGTGCTGGGAGACAGCCTAATCTGGGAAAGCCTCTCCACACAAGCCCCAAATACCACTTTGACCTTCTGAGGCAGCTGCAGTCCCAAGGAGGCTCCAGCTTCAGGAGCAGCACGTGCTCGGGGTGGCTCTGGCAAGGATCTCCCTTGGGGAGAGCCAGGAGGGAGGGCAGAGGCCCCAAACTGCTTCGTGCCCTCCTTGGTTGAGGGCCAGGTCATCTTGCTCGTGTCCCTTGTGACATAATGGGGCTCTGGTAGCTTTTAGAAAAACAAATAGCCAAAAAAAACCCATTACCCCACAATCCAGCCCTAAACCAATTCTCTTTTCTCTCTCTCTCTCTCTCTCTCTCTCTAGAAATGCCGGATCTGGAGTAAGGAAAACTGTCGTCTTCAGGGTTTTGGGGAAAGAACTTCATCACAACATTTCATAATTGAGATAAGAATTCCTGAGTTGATAGCCCTAAAGGGAGATCCTGCATCCTTTAACCCATTTTCAGTCCATTTTAAATGGCTTCACTGATGGTAGGTGTGTCCCATGGCACGGGGCGGTCTTAAGCCACGAGAGGCAATAACGTTATGCATGAACCGTTTTCCAGACTTCCAAAAAAAGACAAACAAACCCCCCAATTGAGGTGTAGGCAATCCGTACAGAACAGTTGCAATAAAGTTTACAGAGCCTCCTTGCCTCGTAGCAGATGTAATTACAATGGGAGAACCCCTGAATTTACACCAAATGGTTAAGCATTTTTCCCCCCCCTTCCTCCTCCACGGCCTGAAATTGTCTGTTTGTACCGGGAACAAAACTTGTTGTCATTGGCTCCCCAAATTCAGCAGGCGAGGCAACATCCCTCCGTGGCGTCTTCAGGTCTGTTCCACTAAAGTTCGTATTGAAAAGGAAAACCTAAAACTTCTCCTCGTTTGGTGTTGGGCCCCCCCGAGCCCCCGAGCGGTGCCGGTGGCCGGAGCCTGTCCCTGGTTCCGTGTGACCCCCCCCAGACCTCCCCCCTCCTCGCCCGGGGTGAGTGGCTGTACATTGTTTGCTTTGTCAATCTGTACATTTAGACCAAATCGTATTTGCACTGTGGGTTTGGCAGCGAGTGACAGACCGTGGGGCCTGCGACCGGGCTGAGAAACCTCAATTTATGTTCAGAGCAGCTGGGATTTTTTTAATGTCTGCATTCTTTCTAATAAACTGTTGAAGACTCCCTGGCTCTCCCTTCGGCCTGGGCCTTGTGCATTCCTCACTGCGGCAGGGGCAGGGGAGTCCTCCCTCCTGGGGGGACGGTGGGGTGGGACCCCCTCCTATGGGGGCATGGGGGTGGGCTCCTTTCCCGTGGGGGCTTGGTGGGGCAGAATTCCCTCCTGGAGGGCCAGTGGGCCTGGGGGGTGGGTTCCTCTCCCCGGGGGGGGTCCCTTCTCCTGGTGGGAGAGCAGCTGGGGACTGGTGCTGCGGGATCCCCCCCGCCACGGGGGGGGAGTGGAGGGACCGGTGCGGTGGGCTCTGCTCCCCCGGGGGGTGGCAGAGCGGGTTCCCTTCTCGTGGGGAGCCGGTGGGGTGGGCTTTTCCCCTGCGGGAGACAACTGGGGGCGCAGGGCCTGCCCAGTGCGGGGCAGCCCCTCGGGGCGGGGCGGTGACCCCCGGGCGGTCTCGGGCCCAGCGCGGCCCCGCCGCGGTCACGGCGCCCGCCCAAGGACAAGCACAGCCACGTGCGCCGCCGCTTCCGGCGACCTTCGCCCAGGCCCCGCCTCTTCCCCTCAGCCTCACCCTATCAACCCGCAGCGGGCCTTGACGGACGGCTCCAAAACCCAATCGTGAGAAGGCGAAGAGCGGGCACCGCCTCAGCACGGCCAATGGCAGCGCGGGCTCTGCCGGCGCGGCGGCCAATGAGCGAGACAGGGGCGCGCCGAGGCCCCGCCCCGCTAGGGCCGTGAGGGGCGGGCGGGACCCGCGGCTCAGTCGGCGCCGCCATGTTGGGGCTCGCGGGTCGTGCCGCCGCCGCCGCCGCGGCCGCGGCCTGGCCGCTGCTGCCCCGCGGGGCCGCCCCGGGCCGTGACCTCCTCCCGCTGCTCCTCGGCCGCGGGGCCGCCCCGGCCTCCGCCGCCCTCGGGGCGCGTGAGTGCGGGACGAGGCGGGGTCACCTTGGGGCCTGAGCGGGCCGGGGGCGTGGGGGGGCGCGGGGGCTGGGGGTCCCCGTTAGCGGGGACGGGAGGGGTGTGTCGTGCGGTCATGGGGGAGCAGCTCTGGGGGTTCCGGGGGTCGTGGGTGCATCGAGGGAGGAGCTCCTGGGCGCACTGAGGAGGGCGTAGGGGTCCAGCGTGCACGGAGGAGTAATCGGGGGGTCCCGGCTGCATCGGACGAGGGGTTTCGCGGGGTCCCAGGCGCACCGAGGAGAGTAGAGGGGTCCTGGCTGCACCGAGGGCCGTTCTGGGGGCCCTGGTTTCACGGGGGAATCCGGGGGTCTCGGGCACACCCCCGACCCCTCGGGGGAGCCCCATCCCCGCACCCCCGAGGCACCGGGCGCTGCCCTTCCCCGACCTTGACCCGTCCCTCTCCCCCCAGGCCGGGACTATGCGGCCCAGGCGGCCCCCGCTGCCAAGGCCGGCTCCACCACCGGCCGCATCGTGGCCGTCATCGGGGCCGTGGTGGACGTGCAGTTCGACGAGGGGCTGCCCCCCATCCTGAACGCCCTCGAGGTGCAGGGCAGGGAGACCCGGCTGGTGCTGGAGGTGGCTCAACACCTGGGTGAGCACTTGGCACGAGGGAGGGAGGGGACGGGGAGAGGTCCTCCGGTGATGATGTTTCCAATGACTTTCGTTCTCCTGAGCTTGCTGAAGCCACGGATTTCAATCTGAGGAGGAGGAAAATGGCTGCCCTCGAGGGCTGTGGCTGCAGCTGGAGCGCAGCCTGGTCTCTCGTTTTCCTCTGGGCTATTTTATTCCCGCGTCCTGCTGCTGTTCCCGGCCCTTCTCTGAGCTGAACGTCCCCTTGGCAGGGCCCGGGGAAGCCACCAGCAGCTGTGCCCGGGGTCAGCCCGAGGACGCTGCGGTGACTGTGCTGTCCTTGGGCAGGGGAGAACACCGTGCGCACCATCGCCATGGACGGCACGGAGGGGCTGGTCAGGGGGCAGAAGGTGCTGGACTCAGGTGCTCCCATCCGCATCCCCGTGGGCCCTGAGACCCTGGGCAGGATCATGAATGTCATCGGGGAGCCCATCGACGAGAGGGGCCCCATCACAACCAAACAGTGAGTGCTGCGGGTGTGAGCAGGGAGGGATCCTGCTCTCCTGGGGCTTTGGGGCAGCTGCTCAGCCCCTTCCTCTCCCCTTCCCGCTCCAGGTTTGCTGCTATCCACGCCGAGGCCCCCGAGTTCGTGGAGATGAGCGTCGAGCAGGAGATCCTGGTGACGGGGATCAAGGTCGTGGATCTGCTGGCTCCCTACGCCAAGGGCGGCAAGATCGGTACGTGACCCCCGGAGTGGGAGGGGGGTCTGGGGAGGGGGCACCTGCCAGCCCCCTTAAAGCTCCTGATGGTCCCCCTGGGGCACTTTCCTTCGCTGATGATCCACTCCTTGACTTTCGTTCTCCTGAGCTTGCTGAAGCAACGCTGTTTTCCATCTGAGGAGGAAAGGGCTGAAGGGAGACCTGGGGGGCAGCTGGGCTGGCTCAGGGCTGAGCAGGACCCCCACTCCCCCCTCCCAGGTTTGTTTGGAGGTGCTGGCGTCGGCAAGACTGTGCTGATCATGGAGCTGATCAACAACGTGGCCAAGGCCCACGGTGGTTACTCGGTGTTCGCTGGCGTGGGCGAGAGAACCCGCGAGGGCAACGACTTGTACCATGAGATGATCGAGTCTGGGGTCATCAACCTGAAAGATGCCACTTCCAAGGTGTGCAGGGTCCCCCGGGGGGTGCTGGGTCTCTTGGGGCGGTGGTGGGGGGATGCAGGGGGTGCCAGAGGGACACCGTGCTGACCTGGGGGTCCCACCCGCAGGTCGCCCTGGTCTACGGGCAGATGAACGAGCCCCCGGGCGCCCGCGCCAGGGTGGCCCTGACGGGGCTGACGGTGGCCGAGTACTTCAGGGACCAGGAGGGTCAGGACGTGCTGCTCTTCATCGACAACATCTTCCGCTTCACCCAGGCCGGCTCTGAGGTCCGTGCTGGGCACGGGGGGTGCCCCTGCCCCACACCGGCACAGCCCCTCACGCTCTGTCCCCGGGCAGGTGTCGGCCCTGCTGGGCAGAATCCCCTCGGCCGTGGGCTACCAGCCCACACTGGCCACCGACATGGGCACCATGCAGGAGCGGATCACCACCACCCGCAAGGGCTCCATCACCTCGGTGCAGGTGAGGGCAGGGCCGGCCGGGGGGGCCCTGGGGTCACCTGCTTGGGGCCCACCGTCCCCTCCCTTCCCCCCAGGCCATCTACGTGCCCGCCGATGACTTGACTGACCCCGCCCCCGCCACCACCTTCGCCCACTTGGATGCCACCACGGTGCTGTCCCGTGCCATCGCCGAGCTGGGCATCTACCCGGCCGTGGACCCCCTGGACTCCACCTCGCGCATCATGGACCCCAACATCGTGGGCCCCGAGCACTACGACGTGGCCCGGGGCGTGCAGAAGATCCTGCAGGTGAGGGGGGGCCGGGCAGCCCCCCGTGGGGTGCTGGGGGGTCAGTGCTGGCTGCTCACCCCCCATGTGTCCCCCCAGGACTACAAGTCACTGCAGGACATCATTGCCATCCTGGGCATGGACGAGCTGTCCGAGGAGGACAAGCTGACAGTGGCCCGTGCCCGCAAGATCCAGCGGTTCCTGTCCCAGCCCTTCCAGGTGGCCGAGGTCTTCACCGGCCACATGGGCAAGTTGGTGCCTCTGAAGGAGACCATCAAGGGCTTCAAGCAGATCCTGGCAGGTGAGGTGGCCCCCCGGGGACTAGGGGAGCCTGGTTGGGCCCCCCCACTGCCCCCTGACACGGTGTCTCCCCCCAGGTGAATACGACCACCTGCCCGAGCAGGCCTTCTACATGGTGGGGCCCATCGAGGAGGCCGTGGCCAAGGCAGAGAAGCTGGCAGAGGAGCATGCCTGAGCCCCCCCAAACCCCCCTGCCCCCCGGCTCCGCTGGGGCCGGACCCCCAGTATTTAACATTTCCAATAAAACATCGATGAAAACGTTCCCAGGCTCTGTGCTGTGGCTCCTGGTGGGAGGGGTCTGGAGGGGTCGGGGTCCTGTGACCCCCTGCACCCAGGAAGGCAGGGCTGGAGTTCCCTGAGGCCCCCCAACCCCGTGTTGGGTTCTGGGCTCAGCTGCTGCAGCATCACCGGGACCCCCGGCCTTGGGGTTCCCCAGGAGGGGGAAGAGCCCCCCCTTACCCTGTGGGGTCGCCAGGAGGGGGGGCCCCTTCTCCCGTGGGGTCCTCAGAACTGTCCCCCTGGGACAGCCCAGGAGGTGACAGATGCTGGTCCCGAGCCTGTCCCTAGCCCGGTGTCCATCTGTCTGTCCCTGACCCCGTCGTTCCTTCCCCCCACGAGCACCACCCCGCCCCGTTCCAGCTCCACCATTTCACAGCACAAAGAGCCGGCCCGGCCCCGGCAGCTGCCGCTTTGTCCGCGGGGTCCCCGGGGCCGCGCCGGCCCGGCCCTCCCGGTGCGGGCCTGCGGGACACCCACGCCGGGGGCACCGGGACAGCCCCCGACCCCCCGCTCCGTCGGTGACCCCCCGGTGACGGGCTGGGCTCAGCCCCACGGAGGATCGGGGGGTCGCGGGGGTGCCCCGCGGCGCGGTCCCGGTGCGGGGGTGCCCCCCGCCGCCTCCACCCACCCCCGCCACGGAGGGCCGCGGTCCCTTTAAATGGCGGCGCGTCCCCGGTGGCGGAGGGGGCGGCGGCGGCCGCTGACATCACGCGGGGCCGGGAGCACCTGCGCCCCGCCCGGCTCCGCCACCGGCACCGCAGCGCACCGGGCCGGGCGGGCACCGGGGCTGGTGCGGCCGCCCCCGCCCCCCCAGGTACGCACCGCGCGGGACGGGCCCGGGGAGCGGGACACCGGGACCCCCGTGGGGCTGAGATGGCTGTACCGGGACTCCCGGATCTGTACCGGGACCCCCTGAGACCGGTCCGGCTGGACGGGGACCCCCCCGCTCAGTACCGGGACCCCCCCACCCTCCCGGGAGGCGCCACCGGGGGGGGAACCCCCGCACCGGCCCCCCCCCCGCCCCGCACCGGGCGGGGATCCCCCCCCGCTCCCCAGCGGCCGCACCGGGACAGCCCCCCCCGCACCGGGACCCCCCTCTCCCCCCGCCGCCCCCGCGCCCGGTGTCGCCCCCGGTCCCTGCGCAGCGCGGCCCGGCCGGTGCCGCGTGACGTCACCGGGGATCCCGGGGGCCAGCGCGGGCGGGGGGGGCCCGGCGGGCCCGCGGACGAACCGGGGGGCGTCGGGGCCCGGCAGAGTCCCGGGCCCGGGCCCGCCGCGCCGCCGTTCTCGGGGGGGGTCGCACCGGGGCTGCGGGGGACGAGCGGAGAACGATCGGGGGAGCGGAGAGGGGGAGCGGGGGGGGAAAGGCGGTCCCGGGGGTGCCGGTGCCGGGCGGGGCGGCCCGGGGGGAGCGGGGGGTGCCGCAGCCGGGGGTGGGGGGGGCGGCCCCGCGTGGGGATTCCCCCCGCCCTGACCCCGCCGGGGGCGGGGATCCCCCTCCCACGTGGGCGCGCGCTCCCGCCCCCGGTGACGCCACGGCGGCGCCGCTCCCGGTGACGCCACTGCGGCCGTCGTGACGTGCCGGAGGGGCGGGCGGGGGGGGCCGGGACGGGACGGGGGCGGTCCCGGGACCGCCCGGCGGCGCGAGGCGCTTCCTGCCGCGGCCGCAGGTTCGGCTCCGCGGCCCGGCCCCGGTACCGGAGCGGAGCGGAGGGGCCCCGGTCCGGCCCGGTGCGGCGGAGGGGCCATGCCGAGCCGTCCCCCGCCCCGCGCCGCCTGAGCCGGGCCCGCGGCACCGCCTGCCAGGTGCGGGGGGTGTGCGGGGGGTGTGCGGGGGGTGTGCGGGGGGTCGCGGGGGGCGGGCGGTAACGGGCCGTTAACGGCCCGGGCGGGGGGGGGGGGCATTCGGTTGCGGCAGTTGCGGCCCCGCGGCGGCGGCACCGGGAGAGGCGAAACCTCCCCTCGCTCTCCTTTCCTGACCTCGGTGAGACGCCGTCCTGTCCCCCGCTTCCTCCTGCGCATCCCGGTTCCACGGCCCCCCGCGTTACCGGCGCCCCCAGACCCCCCCGATCCCCTCCCGGTGCGGCGGCCGAGGGCCTGGACCCACGGGGAGCCCGAGCCCCCGTCCCCGGTGGCCGGTGCGGTTCTCCCGCATCCCCGTCCCGGAGGCCGGGGGGAGCCCCCTCCCCTCCGTCACCGCCCCTTCGTGTCCCCCCCTCCCGCACCCGCCGGGACCGGGACCCCCCTGCGGCGGCGGGAGGGGGCGGGAGCCCCCCCCGGGACCCGGCGGGGGGGCTCCGGGGCGGGGGGGATGTCCTTGCCGCAGGAACCGGGGGGTCCCCGCCGAGCGCGGGGGGTGCCGGTCCCGTGTCCCCCCGTGTCCGTCCCCGCAGGAAGTGGCCGGGAAATGGCAGCCGGTTGTTGCGTGTCGTTGTTTTTGAAACGTCCTTTTTAATCAGGTCGCGTCACGCTCCCGGGGCCTCCCGGTGCCACCGGGCCGGGGGGGCCGCAGGGCCGGGGGGGGGCCGAGCTCCCTGCCCGGGGAATGGCACCGGCTCCACGGCACCGACAGCCCCCCCAGCCCGGAGCTCTGTGCCCCCCGTCCTGGCTCCCGGGGCAGTCCTGCCCCCCCCGTGTCCCCACCGGGATCCCGGGGCCTGTGGGTGCTGCTGCCACCGGGTTTGACACCCGGGCGAGCGTCGCTGCCACTTGGGCCGTGCCCAGTGCGGTGGGAGACAGGGGTCAGCCCCGGGGTCATCACCCCCCCTGCCCCCGCCTCATCACCCACCACCCCACGTCCCCACAGTGCTACCGTGCCGAGGCTCCTGCCCCCCGCCCTCCCCACCTCACCCAGCTCCTGGTTTGTGCCGTGGCCCAGTTTTGGCAGCTCCACACTCGGTGATGGGGGGGGAGCGGGGCCATGGGAGCCCTAGCCTGGCTGGGAGGCCGTGGATGGCCGTGGATGGCCGTGGATGGCCCGTGTCCACACTGCACCTGGTGCTGGCTGAGCTCCCAGCGATGCCAAGGACAGCTCTGGCATCCTCAGGGCCTGGGCTGTCCCTGGAGCGTGGGTGACATTCCCACTTCCCAGCTTTTATTTTCTCCCGGCCCCTCCCCACCCCGGTGAGTGCCCACTCCATCCCAGTCCATCCCAGTCCATCCCAGTCCATCCCAGTCTGCGGTGCTGACCTGCAGCCCCCACCTGCCCGGTTCTGGCACATCCCTTTGCCGCCTCCTCTGACCTCCAAAGCCACGTTCCCGGCCGGTGCATCACACGCGGGGTGGGACCGGAAAGGCTTCTCCTTATCCAGCCCCACCGGGGCCTCTGTGCCCGTGCCAGCCGGGGGTCCCCGCTGGGGTCAGGGCAGGGCCAGCCCCCCACTCGGGGCTCGGGGAGGGGGGTGGCTGCGGGGCCATCCCGGGATGTCCGGGAGCGCCGTGTGTGTGGCAGCAGCTGCGTCACCGCCCATACGGGTTTCTCTGGAGGATGAATCACCGGTGGCCCCGGCCGGGCTCGGTGGCCCCTCCGGCCCCTGCCAGGGCACCAGCTGAGGCGGGCGAGGGTGTGATGAAATCCGGGTTTCGACACGGGCCGTGCCACGAGCCGCTGCTGAAGCAGCCTCGGCCCTTTCGGAGAGGTTTGGCAGCACGCACGACCGGGAGGTGCCGGCGGTGGCAGCCCCAGAGGGTGTCCCTGTGGGTCCCTGCCAGATCTCCCACCTCGTCTGCTGGGCTTGCAGGGCCTCGGCTACCCCGTGCCGGGATCCCCTCAGGCCGTGCCAGTGGTGCAGCGGGGTCCCATCCTGGGGCTGGACCCCCCCAGAGCCCTCCTTGTGGGCTCTGGTTTGAGGAACCATTTGCTGTTCTGGGGTGATGAAGATCACCAGGCCCCTGCATATCCCTCCACTGGGGCTCCAGCTCCTCCTTGCTCCGTCGGGATCCCGCCTCAGATCCTGGAGCTGTGCCTGCGGGATGGGTGTGGGATCTCCTCCAACTGAGGGGGATGGCAGCGGTGGGGACACCACAGAGTCATCCCTGTGCCAGGAGCTCTGGGCTGTCCTGGGACCGCATGGGGTCATGGAGTTGCTCTGGGGGGGTCCCTGGGGGTCCTTGGCTGGGAGCCCCCTCGAGATGGCAGCACCAGGGAGCCGAGTGCCCGAGTTGGATGCAGGCAGGAGGCACAGGGTGATCACATCTTGGTGGTGGCTGTCCCTGGGGACGCTGGAGCACGGTGACAAGCTGTGCTCACACAGGTGGCAGCTCATCCAGCCCAGGGTGGCAGGGCCTGGGCCAGTCCTGGGGGGCTTTGATGTCATTCCTGACCCTCCCAAGCACTTGGGTTGGGAGATGGCAGGGAGTGGGAACGGAGGGTCCCAATACTCCCGTGGCCCCTGCCCAGGGCTGGGTGGTCACCATGCTGGCAGCACTGGAACCCGCCAGCGACTGACCCTGGTGCATCTTGTCCCCTGTGCAGAAATGGAAACAAACAACCATTTTAACTTCACTGGCCTTTCCTCTGCACCCGCTGCCTCAGGACCGAAACCCACGCCTGCCTCAGGGGACAACCCCTTCACCCACAGCTCCCCGCTCGGCTTCCCCCCGCAAGGGAAAAGTGAGTGACCCCGCGGGGATGGGGATGGAGGGGGTGCAGGGGGGGGGCCGTGGGGATGGAGGGGCCGTGGGGATGGAGGGGCCATGGGGATGGAGGGGCTGCAGGGGTGGGGGGGGCCGTAGGGATGGAGAGGCCGTGAGGATGGAGGGGCCGTGAGGGGGCAGGGGGGCCGTGGGGGGGTGGGGGGGCCGTGGGGATGGAGGGGCTGCAGAGGTGGGGGGGCCATGGGGATGGAGGGGCCGTGGGGATGGAGGGGCCGTGAGGGGGTGGGGGGGCCGTGGGGATGGAGGGGCCGTGGGGCCGGGGGGGCCACAGCAGCTCCCGTGCGTGGGGCCAGGGCCGGGGTCTGCGCGTGCCCGCCGTCGCCTTGGCCTAGAAAAGCAGCTGCGCCGGCACAGGGTCTGTGCGTGGATTTGGCCGGTCAGCTGACCCGGCACAGCCCTGCCAAGCACTCGGCTAATCCCTGGCGTCCTGCGGCGCTCGGCCCGGTGCCGGCGGAGCCCGCGGCAGAGCCGGTTTGGTGAACGGGGATGGTGCAACCCCCCGGCTCTGTCCAGGCACGGAGAGCACCGGCACCAGGGCGGGGGGTTGGCACCTGCCGGGACGGGTTGTTTGTCCATCCTCAACCCTCTCGCCAAGCACTGGCAGGGCCTGACACGGACAGACCCCACCCGCTGACCCCGCTGTCCCTCTGCCCCCGCAGGTCTGAACGGGGGCATGAATGTCAATGGCTTCTCTACTGTATCGCACCCCGGTACTTCAGGGACATTCCCGCCCGGCTCGGCGCCCGCCGGCTCCCAACCCCTCCGCACCTACGACTGCCTCTGGGACTACGCGGCCTACGCGCCCGCCAGCAGCCTCAAGGACGGGGGCCCGCCCGCCCTCGGACAGTTCCCGCTCAACGGCGTCGCCGGGGGGTCCCGGCCGCCGTCCCCGGGCCACGGCACCAACCTGCGGGTGGCCGGGCAGGAGTTCTGGGGGAACGGCACCGCCGGGCCCATGGGGCTGAACTTCGACTCGCAGGAGCTTTACGACTCCTTCCACGACCAGAGCTTTGAGCTGATGCAGAACGGGCCCGACGGCTTCTACGCGGCGGGTCAGCCCTCGCCCATGCTGGGCTCTGACACGCAGCCCTTCCCGCTGCCCCCGGAGGAGCCGGGCCCCGGCCAGGGAGACGCCGGCGGCGCCGCCAAGGAGATCCCCATCGCGGAGAACGGGGGTGGGCTGGTGGGCAGCCGGGAGCTGGAGGAGGCACAGCCAGGTAGGAGCCCGGGAGGGCTGGCAAAGCTCTGGGATGCGGCGCTGCGGCCCCGGCAGGCGGGGGCTGGATCCTGCTGGCGTTGGGCACCACATTCCCTGGGGAATCCCAGCCCCTGTGACCCGCCTGCCCCGTGTCCCAGATGGGATTTGTCCCGTCCCAGCTCGGAGCTGGTGTTGGATCTTGCTAAACCAGGCCAGACGCAGCCCGGGGCGTCACCAGCCGGTGCTGTGGGAGGGCTGGGTGTCCCGGTGTGGGGAGCAGTGATGGCCTATGCCGGGGATACCCTGTCACCGTCACATCCCACCCCCTCAGGCTCCATTCTCTGTCGGTTGTTCCCTTTAGACCTGAAGATCTGCAGCTACAACGGGGCCGCCGCCGGCGCGGTGCCGCTCGGGCAGGAGGGGCCCGTCCTGGCCCCCGGCGCGGGCAGCGGGTGCCTGGGGGACGCGTCGCCCATCGCCCCACGGCTGGAGGACTCCCACATCCTCAGTGAGGACCCCCTGGAGCCCTTCGAGTCCCTGGCCAGAGGTAGGGAGGTGTTGGGGACGTGGTGTTGGGGGCTGTGGTGGGCAGGACCGGGGCAGGGGGCACGGCCGTTCCCGGCCGCGGTGCCCGGGAAGCTGCGCCGGCCCTTGTGGGTGCCCTGGGTGCGGTGGCTGTGGCCGTGGCTGTGGTTTTGGCTGTGGCTGCGGCAGTGGAGGAGGCGATGCTGCTGCTGCTGATGGAGGTGATGGCCGTGGCCTCCCCCCGGCGGGCAGGGGCGGGCCCGCGTCCCTCCCGCGTGCGCTCCCGGCCTTTCCCTGCCTTTCCCTGCCTTTCCCTGCCTTTCCCTGCCTTCCTTCCCGGCCTTCCCGGCTCTGTGACGAGGCTGTTACTCAGCGCCTGAACTTCCGCGCTGGTGAACATCGCCAGCCACGGCCATTTTGGGCTCCTCCGCTTCCCAGAGGAGGGGGCGGGGCTGGGGGGGGCCCAAACCCCTTTAACCCCTCTGCTGCCGGAGCCTTTTCAGCCAGTGCCCCCCACCCTCCCCCGGGAGCAGAGATGAGGGTCTGCCCGCCCCCCACCCTGGTGCTCACCCCCCTCCCCAGACCCCGGCACCGGCGACCTCTACACCATGGACGACTCGCAGCTGGTGAGCGACAAGTCGTCCCTGGAGGAGCCCCCCGACCTGGCTGCCAGCCCCCCCCTCCACGCCAGCCCCTTCAGCCTGCTGCCCGCCAGCCCCCCGCCCGCCCCGCTGCTCGAGGGCCCCGGCTCGCCCACCCTGCACGGTACGTGAGACCCCGGGATGGGCAGAGCGGGGACCCCCACGCTGGGGGTGTCACCCCTCCGCCTCCATGGGCACCCCACGTGTGCCAGTGGGGGATGAACCACGTGCCAGCACTGGTAGCACTGCGTGACCCCCACGGGGGTGCCCTTGGCTGGCACGGGGAGGGGACGCCCAGCTCCGTTCACCCCCAGCCCCGGCACAGCCCGGTGTCCTGGGCGGAGCAGGAAAGGCTCCGCTGACGTCCCTGCCCTCGGCTCCACAGACGGCACCAGCGTCGACCTGAACAGCGGCAGCCACGCGGGACTGGGGGACTCGGGGTCCCTGCAGCTCGACCCCCCGCTGGAGCCGGAGTCCCCGGCCCCGTCTGCAGAGGAGGAGGAGGAGGAGGAAGAGCAGGAGGAGGAGGAAGAGGCCGCCGACAGCTGCCCGGAGACTTCGGCCGCACCAGAAGGAGAGAGCGAGGAGGCGGCTCCGCTGGGCGCCTCGGCGGCAGGTACGGCCGGGAGCCCCCCCAGCTGCCCCCCAGGTGTCCCCCGTCCGCTGGCACGGCCCAGCCCAGCGTCCTGTCCCTGTCCCCTCTCCGCAGGGGATGTCCCTCGCCGCCGCATCGCCACGCAGGAGGAGGTTCGCTTCCCGCTGCAGCACGGGTACGTGTCAGGGTGCCGTGTGCCCTGCCCCTCCTGCCGTGCTGCCCCCCACACTGTCCCCCTCCTGTACACCATCCTGCCCCTGGCACTGCCCCTTCTCCATCCTGCTCCTGTCCCCGCCCCCTTTCCATTCTGTCCCTGACGCTGTCCCCCTCTCCCTGTCCCCTGCCCATCCTGCCCCACATTCCCGGGCTGACACTCCCCGTGCCCAGGTGGAGGCGGGAGGTTCGGATCAAGAAGGGGAACCACCGCTGGCAGGGTGAGACCTGGTACTACGGGCCCTGCGGGAAGAGGATGAAGCAGTTCCCGGAGGTGATCAAGGTACAGTCCCGTGGGGGGAGCAGGGTGGGGGCTACCCTGGGGTCCTGGTCCTTCACAGCCCCCCCGAGCCCCTGACCAAGCTGATGGATGTGGCTGTGAGCCCAGAGTGCTGAGAGCTCACAGCCTTCCTCCTCCTCCTCCTCCTCCTCCCCCCAGTACCTGAGCAGGAACATGGTGCAGGACGTGCGGCGCGAGCACTTCAGCTTCAGCCCCCGGATGCCGGTGGGAGACTTCTATGAGGAGCGGGACACGCCAGAGGTGGGTCTGGGGGCGGCCGAGCCCCCCTGTGACCCCCAGCCCTGCGCTGTGCCGGGGCTGACCCTGACCTGTGGCACTGCAGGGTGTGCAGTGGGTGAGGCTGAGCCCCGAGGAGATCCCCGGGCGCATCCAGGCCATCACGGGCAAGCGCGGGCGGCCCCGCAACGCCGAGAAGGCCAAGCCCAAGGAGCCACCGGCCGCCAAGCGGGGCCGGGGCCGCCCGCCCAAGGTCAGGATGGTGGATTTGCTGAGCAAGACGGACGCGCGGCTGCTGAAGAGGCTGGAAGCACAAGGTACCCCCTGCCCGGCCCCACCGGTCGGGGGGCTGGCACGGCCCCTCACAGCCTGCCCCCAGTGGGACCTCAGTGCCTGGTCCATCTATGCCCTTCCTTTCTTCCCCTCCAGAGGTGCTCAGCGATGAGGACAAGCTGAAAATGAGTAAAATCAAGAAGAAAATGAGACGGAAGGTGCGAGCGTGTGGCTCGGGGTGGGCGCTGGGGCTCCTCGGGTCTGGGGTGGGGGTCTCCCTTGTGTGGGGGGGTCTCTGGATCTCTTAAGTGGGTCTCATCTCCTCAGGCCAAGAACAAGCAGAAGCAGGAGGCCAAAGCCCCCAGGGCCAAGGAGACCAAGAAGAAGCCTAAGGTGGGTTCGTGGGTACAAGGGGACCAGGGAGAGGGAGGAGCTGGAAGATGAAGATGGATTTTTCCCCCCTTTCCTTTTCTCCCCACACATCTGTGATGTGTCCCCAGGCCAAGGAGAAGAAGGGGAAGCCAGAGAAGGGCAAGGACAAGGCTCGGCCCAAGGAGAAGAAGGGCAAGGGGGCTCGGAAGGCGGACAAGGGGCTGGTGGCCCAGCGGCGCCTGGAGGAGCGGCAGCGGCAGCAGCTCATTCTGGAGGAGATGAAGAAGCCCACGGAGGACATGTGCCTGGGGGACCACCAGGTGGGCTGGGCCGGGGGGCTCGGTTGGGTCACACTGATGAGCCGATGGCTGGCCCTGACCCCCCCTCTTCTTCCCCGCAGCCCCTTCCAGCCTTCTCCCGCATCCCGGGGCTCGTCCTGCCCAGCCGCGCCTTCTCCGACTGCCTGACAGTCGTGGAGTTCCTGCAGAGCTACGGCAAAGTGCTGGGCCTGGACCCCACTCGGGACGTGCCCACGCTGGGCGCGCTGCAGGAGGGGCTGCTGGGGGTGGGCGCCGGGGCCGGGCAGCTGCAGGACCTGCTGGTGCGGCTGCTGCAGGCGGCCATCTACGACCCCGGGCTGCCGCCCTACTGCCAGGTGAGGCGGCCCTTACCTGCCCTTTCCCCATCCCCTTTCCTTTTCTGCCCCTCTCTTTTCTTTTTTCTCCCTCCTCTTTCCGTTTCTCCCCTTCCCCTTTTCTCCCTTCCCTGACTGGTGTTGTCAGGAAGGGGAGCCTGGATTTGGGAGGTGCTGCTCTCACTGCAGCCCCCTGTGCCCAGCCAACTCCTGACCCCCAGCGGCCCTTGGGGTGCCCTCAAATCTCACCTGCTGCAGAGACCCTGCCTGGGACACCCCTGGGTTTGCTCCCGCTTGGGTTCCTGGCCTGGTTTTCCCAGCCCTGGGGTCCTGCCTTCACCCCCTCCTGGCAAATCCCCCGTGGGGACAGGAAGTGACTCCCCGACCCCTCCCGCTCTGCTCTCCCCAGTCCCTGAAGATCCTGGGGGAGAAGGTGTCGGAGATCAGCCTGAACCGTGACACCGTGTCCGAGATCCTGCGCTGCTTCCTGACGGCGCACGGGGCGGGCGCGGAGCTGTGCGAGGGGCTGCGCACCAAACCCTTCCAGGCGCTGCCCCCGGAGTGGAAAGCTGCCATCCTGGTCTTCCTGGTGAACGAGCTCAACAGCAGTGCCCTCATCATCAGGTGAGCCTGGGCGGGGGGCACGAACATCCTCTGGCCCCCTGGAGCGGGTCCCACCCCCCCCAGAGCTGCCCATCGCAGCCACCCCGCCCTGTCCTTGCAGTGAGATCGACAAGACCCTGGAGAACATGTCCAACTACAGGAAGAACAAGTGGATCATCGAGGGCCGCCTGCGCAGGTGGGTGGGGAGGGGCTGCACCCCCAGTGCGTGTGGCTGGGAGGGGGCACCGAGACCCCCACCTGTGACCCCCCGTCCGGCGCTGAGGGGTCTCGGGGTGGCATTGCCAGCGGTGGAGGTGGGCAGAGGGACAGGAGTCAAACAGCTCCGCTGTGTCCTGGCAGGCTGAAGGTCGCCCTGGCCAAGAAGACGGGCCGTCCCGAGTCGGAGATCACGGGCCTGGAGGACGGACGGCGCCGGCGCAGCTCCCGCCTGACCGAGGACACGGGCCTGGAGATGGAGGAGGAGGAGGAGAGCCGGGGACGGAGATCCCGCCGGGAGGAGGAGGTGGGGTGGTTCGGGGTTGGGGGACAGAGGTAGGGGTGCCGCTCTTGGGGGTCTCTCCCTGACGGATCCATCCCTTCCCCAGGCCGACACGTCCGCGTCCAGCGTCCCGGAGCTGGAGCGGCAGATCGAGAAGTTGGCCAAGGTGAGCGGGGTGGTGGAGGGCTGGGGGTTCAGCCCTGCTGGGGGGCTGCAGCCCCCTCACCGCCCCCCACTCTCCCCACAGAGGCAGATGTTCTTCCGCAAGAAGCTGCTCCATTCCTCCCAGACGCTGCGAGCGGCTTCCCTGGGCCAGGACCGGTACCGGCGGCGCTACTGGGTCCTGCCCCACCTGGGCGGCATCTTCGTGGAGGGCGCGGAGGGTGAGTGGGGAAGGGGCTTTTGGGGGTTCTCCCAGCCGGGAGAGGACCCCACATCTCACCTCCTCCTCCTCCTCCTGCCCTTGCAGCGGCTGAGCCGACGCCCCCGGAGCCCCCCGAGGAGAAGGTGCCCCCCCACGTGTCCCCGGTGAAGGAGGAGCCGGCGGACGTGCCCGTCCCCAGCCGGACGAGCTGCCCGACCTCCCGCGCCCGGGGCCGGCCCAGGAAGAGCAAAGAGGAGCTGGCACAGCACTGCGGACCCCGACCCACCCCCGTCAACGGGGTCCTGGAGGAGCCGGAGCCCCTGGGGCAGAGCCAGCACGACCTCAGCCAGTCCGCCTTCCTCTCCTGGCTGAGCCAGACCCAGTCGTCCCTGCTCAAGGACTCCGTCCTCACCCCGGCCAGCAGCCCCGGCAAGGGGGACGCGGGGCTGCTGCCACTCGAGGCCCCCTCAGATCCCATGGAGGAGGAGTTGGAGGAGGAAGAGGAGGAGAGTGCCCCGGAGGCTGTGGAAAAGCGGGGGCCCTGGTTCAACCTGCTGCCCCGGACGCCCTGCGACGACCGAGCCCCCCTCGCTACCTCCTCGGCCGAGCCCTCCCCACAAGCCCCTGCTGTGCCCCCCCGCAGCCAGACCCACGGGGACCCCCCCAGGGGCTCACCCCAGCAGGTACCACACGGGGAGGCTGCGCCCAGCACTTACACCCCAGCCTGGGGGGCTGTGTCGGGAGGGGGATTCTCCCTGGGTGGCTGTGGGGAGCGTGGGGGGCCCTCAGCTCGGGCACTGGGCACCCCCAGGGTGGGGGACAGGCTCGGGGTTGGCACATGGAGCTCAGCCGAGATGCCCCCAGTCCTCTGGGCTGTGAGCTGGTGGGAAGGGAAACAGCTCCAAGGCTGGGGGGGTTGCGGGACTGGGGACCAGGGGGGCTGCAGAATGAGGGCCAAGGCTCAGGGGGTGTGTCTGGCTCTCCTGACCCCCCCATCTCACCCAGCTGAACGGCCTCCCCACGGACGACCCCACGGCTCCCCTGCTCGCTTCCACGCCGGTGCACGCCGGGCCCAGGGCCCACGGCGCCTGCCCCCGGAGCCGGGGCAACCCGGAGAAGCTCCAGGACGTGCCGGGACAGCCCAAGCGCCGAGGGCGACCCCCCACCAAATTCTTCAAGCAGATTGAACAGAAATACTTGACGCAGCTGACGGAGCAGCCCGTGCCCCCCGGTGAGAGCCCGGGACCCCCAGGGCGGGCGGTGCCGGTGCCCTGGCACGGCGCTGAGCCCTGGCACTGCCTTGCAGAGATGCAGAGCGGCTGGTGGTGGCTGCGGGACCCCGAGGAGCTGGAGGCCGTGGCCCGGGCGCTGCACCCACGTGGCATCCGGGAGAAGGCCCTGCACAAGCACCTCACCAAGCACAAGGAGTTCCTGCGGGAGGTTTGCCTCCGGGCCACCACCGGTAAGGGCTGCCTGTGCCCCCGGGGTGGGGCTGCCTGTCCCTCTCCCTGAGCCCACCCTCCATCCACCCAGACCCCTCTTCCACCCGCACCCCCGGGCCTGGGGGCTGCTGGCTGTCCATCCCCTGAGCCCACCCTTCACCCCCCAGACCCCATCTTCCACCCGCGCCCCGAGGCGGCCGGTGCCGCCGTGTCTCAGGAAGTCCTGGCCCGGTGGTCGGTGATGGACAGAGCCTACGAGACCGACCTCGGCGTCCTGCAGTGGGTGGAGGAGCTGGAGCAGCGCGTGCTGATGGCCGACCTGCAGATCCGGGTGGGTGCTGGGGATGGTGGTCTCTGTGCCGGGGGTGGTGGTTTTGGTGCCACGGTGACCTCCCCCCCACTGAACCCCCTTTAACCCCCTCCCTCCCGCAGGGCTGGACGTGCCCCAGCCCCGACTCCACGCGGGACGACCTCCGGTACTGCGAGCACAAGGTGGAGCCGCTGGAGGACATCACGATCCGCTCCCGGCGGGACGGGCTCCCGCTGCGCCGGGAACGCACCAACCCTCTGGATCTGGCTGTGCTCCGTCTCCTGGCGCTGGAGCAGAACCTGGAGCGCCGGTACCTGAAGGAGCCGCTGTGGCCGCTGCACGAGGTGGTGGTGGAGAAGGCGGTGCTGAGCAGCCCCGAGGAGCTGAGCCTGGGCCCCACCGAGATGTGAGTGACCAGCAAGCGTTGGGAGGCTCGGGCGGAGCAGGACCCCCAGCTCCGGCTGAGCCCCCCGACCCCCCCCCAGAGCCTACGAGATCACGCCGCGGGTGCGGACGTGGCGGCAGACGCTGGAGCGGTGCCGGAGCGCGGCCCAGGTGTCCCTGTGCATCTTCCAGCTGGAGAAATCCATCGCCTGGGAGAAGTCTGTGAACAGAGTGGTGAGACCCCACTCCGGGGGGCGAGGCAGGGAGGGTCAGAGCCCCCTCCCCAGCCTGACCGAGCCCCCCCTCCCCACAGACCTGCCTCGTGTGCCGGCGCGGGGACGACGACGAGCACCTGCTGCTGTGCGACGGCTGCGACCGCGGCTGCCACCTCTACTGCCACCGGCCCAGGATGACCGAGGTGCCCGAGGGCGACTGGTTCTGCTCCGTCTGCGTGTCCCGGGTAGGTCCCCGGGCCGTCTCCCACCCGGCCGGGCTGGTGGCGACCCCGGGCTCGGCGTGACCCCCGTCTCCTCCCCGCAGGCAGGGCAGTACCGGGACCCCGTCTCGCCCCGGCGGGGCAAGAAGCGGAAACGGGGGCGTCTCGGGGGGACCCCGGAGGAGGAGGAGGAGAACCCGCGGCGCCGCCCGGCCTTGCGCCGCCGAGAGGGGCTGCCCGTGCCCCGGTACCCGGGAGAGGGGCTGACCCCCACCAAACGGAGGGGAGTGACCCTGCGGGGCCAGCCCAGCGACCTCACCTTCTGCGAGTGAGTGGGGCCGGGGGGGCCGCAGGGAGGGGGCTCGGGCCGTGCCCCCGGGGGCTCCCCCTGACCCTGCTGCTCCCCCAGGATCATCCTGATGGAGATGGAGTCGCACGAGGACGCGTGGCCCTTCCTGGAGCCCGTGAACCCCCGCCTGGTCCCCGGCTACCGCAAGATCATCAAGAACCCCATGGACTTCGCCACCATGCGCACGCGGCTGCTGCGGGGAGGGTGAGCGGGGGGCCGGGGGTCCCTCCTGGGGACAGGGGTCCCTTTGGGCCTGGCAGGGTCTCTTCCAGAGATGGGGGGTCCCTCGGGGGCTGGTGGGGGCCTTTCTGAGAATGGGGATCCATCCCGGGCGTGGGGTCCCTCAGGGGCCGTTGGGGTCTCTTCAGGGGTTGGAGTTCCCTCCTGGGGATGGGGCTCCTTTGGGGCTGACGGGGTCACTCCCGGGGATGGGGGTCCCGGTGGGAGCCATGGGGGTCCCCGGCTGCCCCCCACCCACCCTGTCCCCCCCCCCAGGTACTCGAGCTCGGCGGAGTTCGAGGCCGATGCCCTGTTGGTGTTTGACAACTGCCAGACCTTCAACGAGGACGACTCCGCCGTGGGCCGCGCCGGCCACGCCATGCGCCGGTTCTTCCAGAGCCGGTGGGAGGAATTTTATCAGGGAAAACACGCTCCGAACCCGTGAGCGGGGGGCCAGCTGTGCCCCCCCGTGCCCCCTTGGGGCTTGGGGTCCCCGTCACCCCACGAACTGCCTCCTCTGGAGCTGCTCTCGCTGCCTGCTGATCCCACACGGGGGGTCTCGTCCCCCTTCACCCCCGGCAGCGTGAACGGGCCCCCCCAGCCCCGTGGCCCCTTCCCGCTGCCCGGTCTCCCCCCTCCCCCTGCCCCCCATCCTGCCCAGACCCCCCCCCCAACCCCCAGCACCACCAACTCACAGACTGTGTAAGCCAAAAAGAAAAAAAAAAGAGGTGTTTTTTTTCTTTCTTTCTTTTAAATTTAATTTTCTAATTAAGAACAGAAGCAGCCCCCCCCCCCCCCCCCCCCCCCAGAGGAGGGAGAGCCCCCACCCCCCCCGAGAATATTTAACAATAGCAATAGTTTAGTGAATGTCCGAGCACTCCTGTGCAGCGTCTCATGCATTAACGGCCAGTAAAGTGGACTTAGCCCCCCCCTCGCCCCCCACCCTGGCCGGGACCCCCCGCCCGCTCAGACACTTTACGGGGAGGGGGGGCCCCCGGTGCAGCCCCCCCTTGCTGCCCTCGGACCCCACCTGGCTCCAGGGACCAAACTGGGGAGGGCTGGGGGGGCCCGGCACCCCTTTCCCTGCCTCCAGTCTCAGGAAGAGCCCGGCCCCCCCCTCCCCGGCACGAGGACCCCCGGGGCTGGGGGGGGTCCTGGCCGCCCCCCTGCCCCCGACTGAGATCCCTCAGGGACGCTACTGCAGGCCCGGGGGGGGGTCCGGCCCCCCGACCCCCCCCCACCATGGACTTGAAGCCTCAGGCGGGTGTTGCCCCCCCAGACCTCACTGGGCTGGGGGGGGTTGCACTGGGTGGGGAGGGGTCCCCCCCCCGGCTGGGGGGGCCCGAGTTGGGGCAGGGGTCCCCCCCAGGTCCCCCCATGCTGTGGATGGCCCGGGAGGGGGCCAGGACCCCCCCGGCCCCCCCGGCCAGGTTATTACGGGTACTCGCTCTGGGGGTTTGGGGCGGTTTTGGGGGTCCCGGCGCGTCCCCCCCGGCCCCACAGAGCACTGAAAACAACTCACCTACCTGGGCAGGGGGGTCCGGCCGCGCCCCCCGCCCCCCCCCCCGTCTCAAAGTAGCCTTTTTTCTATCAGATAAACCTCAGAAACTTTTTATTTTATTTTATTTTTTTGCTTTGAACTAAGAGGTGATTTGAAGTCTATTTGAACTGACTTTATATTACGCATAAATATTTATATTTTATCTAAATAACTGCGCTGTAACGGACTTTTTTTGTGGTTTTAAGTCACGTTTCGGATCCGTCAGGTTTTTGTTCTTTTTTTTTTTTTTTTTTTTTTTTTCTTTTTTTTTTTTTTTTTCTTTTTTTTTCCGTCGTGGGAAAGTTTTCGGGAGTCTCCGTATCGTTCTCGTGTTCGTTCAGTTGAAGTTGTCCCCCCTCCACCCCCCGGTTTGACACCCCCTTACCCCCACACCCCCCCCAGAGAGCCCCCCCTGGCTGGCACCTGCCCCCTCGGGGGGGGGGGGGCTGGGGGGGAGCTGGGGGGGTTTTCTTTGCCCCCCTCCTTCCCCCCCCCGGCTTGTGGCGTGGCTGTGGGAGCACCGTGTGCCCCCTCCCCAGGAGCACCGTGTGTGTCCCCCCCCCGCTGCCTTTTCTATAACCAGCCGTTGTTGTTTTAGTGACTTTTTGATAATTGTACAGGTTTTTGTGAATTTAAATTTATTTCTTTCTATATTTTTAGGACCAATCTCGTTTTTAATAAGGTTTAGAGGGGGAAGGCGGCCCCTCCGCCCTCCTCGCTGTTGCCTGTTGATGTCCCCCCCCCTTCCCTTCCCCAACGAGTTGTAGGACCCCTCCCTGCCCCCCCCCCGCGTGTTGCGTTCGAGAATAAACAACTCACGTTTGATAAAACACACGGTGGTCTGAGCCCTCTGGGGGGGGGTCGGGGGGGGTTTGGGACCCTTGAAGGGGGGAGGGACTGGGATGGGTGGCCCTGGGTGGTGGGGGGCTGTGAGGACACCTAACCAGGGGCAGGGGGGGTCTTTTGGGGACCCCTGAGCTGGGGCTGGGATGGGGGGTCCTGGGTGATGGGAGGCTGGGGGGGGGGGGGCAGTTTCTTGGGGGCCCCTTTGCTCCCCCCACGACAGAGGCACATTTCTTTTTTTTCTCGCCTTTTTATTTAAAAAAACAAAAAAAACAACCTCGAAGGGGGGGTCGGGGGGGGTGTCGCAGGGGGGGGTAGCGGGCGGGGGGGGGCGGGGGGCGAGCGCGGAAGCAGGAGGAAGAAAATACAAAACTAGAAACCTCTCGAGATCTTTAAAAAAAAGCAACTTAAAAACCTGTACAAAATGCGCTACGTATAAATTAAAGGGGGGGCCGGGGGGGGCCGGGGGGGGCTTTCTCGGCTTCTCCTCGGCAGCTCGAGCCCCCCCCGAGCTAGTGAGACCCCAGTTCTCAGCCCTACCCCCCCCCACAACCAGCAGCAGGGCGGGGGCTCAGCACGGGGGTCCCAACGCCCCCCCAGCCCCCTGTGGGGGGGGGCCGGTTGTGGGTCTCCCTCTTTGGTTCCTTCCTTGGGGGGGTCGGTGCCCCCCGACCAAAGGGGCCGTGCCCGGGGGGGGCCGGGCAGTAGCAGCAACGGGGGGGAGGTGGGTGATGGCTGGAAACCGGGGGCGGGGGGGGCGTCACCCCGGGGGGGGCGGGGGGCAAAGAGCAGAAGCCCCCCGACCCCCCCAGACAGGGGCTGGGCGCCCACCGAGCTGTGGGGGTGAGGTAGATGTGTGGCGGGGGGGTCCCGCTGCCCCGGGGGGGGCCCTGGGGACCCCCCTGCGCTGGGGGGGCTGGAAGAACCGGGAGGCCCTGGGCAGAGCTGGGGGGGGGCACGGCGGGCCCCAGAGCTGGAAGCAAGTTGGGGGGGTCGTGGGGGGCTGCCCCCCCCCCCCAATGGGGAGGGATGGACGGACAGACCCCCGGCATGGGGGGTGCGAAGCCTGGGGGGGCCGGGGCTGCTCAGCACCCCCCCGACCCCCCCAATCTTTGGTTGCAGGAGCCGCCCCCGCGGGACCCCCTGATTGTCGTTGGGCGGGGGGGGCACCGGGGGGGGCCGGGGACCCCCCGGGGGGGGCGCGGGGGCTCTAAAGTGCCTGGTTGACCCTCGGGGCGCCCGTCGAAGCTTGGGAGGGTTTGGGGGGGGGTTATTGCACTTGACCGACCCCCCCGGGGCAGGAATAGCGGGGGGGGGAGATGGGGGCAGCATCCCCGGCCCTGCGGGGGGGCTGGTGCCCGGAGACTGGGGGTGGGGGGGGGTCCACCATCACCCCCCACCCCGGACCCCGAGCCGGGGGCACCGGGCAGCAGAAGGCACGGGGGGCACCGGGGCCGGCGGGGCCGCGGGCCCTGGAAGCACGAGGGGGGGGCGGCCGGGACCCCCCGGCCCCCCCGGGGCGGCGCAGCGGCTTTGCCTTTTCTTTTTTTTTTCTTTTTTCCCCTTTTTTTTTTTCCTTTTTTCTTTCCTTTTTTTTTTCCTTTAGTTTTTTAGAAAACGCGGGAGGAAGAAAAAGCCCTCCGAGGGCGGGGGGGGGCGGGGGCAGGGGAGGCAGCGGGACCCCCCTGCACCGGGATCTCTGGCACCAGGGCCCCCCCCGGGCTCAGGGACCCCCCCGGAGCCTTCCCCAGGCAGTGGGGGGGGGCAGCACCGGGCGGGGGTCCCGGCACAGCCCCCCAGGGGACACGGGGTCCCTCAAGCCGGGCGAGGGTCCCAGTGCAGCCCCTCCCAGGAGGTGGGTGGGGTCCCTCGGGCCGGGCCCCCCCCGCCGCTACTTGGGGTAGGGGTAGGGGAAGGCGCCGGGCTCGGACGGCGACTCGATGGGGCCGTGGGTCGGGGCAGCTCCGCCGTCCTGCGGGGAGGGGTTAGTGGGCCCCCAAACGCTGCACCCCCAAATCCTGCTCCCCCAGAAACCCCCCTAAGCCCCCCCCGGGCCCCCCCACTCACCTCCAGCGGGAGGGCCGGTGGCACAGGCGGGTACGGAGGGATGAAGGCTCCGGGCACGGCGGCGGCAGCGGGGACGTACTGGGGACAGCGGTGGTGTGGGTGGGGGGGCTCGGGGGGGTCGAGGAGGGGTCAGGGGGGTCAGGGGGCTCTTACCGTGCCGGTGCTGCCCAGTGAGAGGTGGCCGAGCTGCTGGGCCAGGGGGGCCACCACGGAGGGCTGGAGGGGGACGGCATGTTCCACGGCGGGGGCCAGAACCGCGCCCTGCACGGCTCCGTCAGCACAGGGGGACAGGGGACAGGGGACAGGGGGACAGGGGGACAGGGGACAGGGGACAGGGGACAGGGGGACAGGGGGACCGGGGGACAGGGCCCGGGGACAGTGGGGACAGGGGCGACAGGGGGACCGAGGGACAGGGACAGGGGGACCGGGGACGGGGGACAGGGGGACAGGGGGACAGGGGACAGGGGGACAGAGGGACAGGGGGACAGGGGGACAGGGGACAGGGGGACAGGGGGACAGGGGACAGGGGGACAGGGGGACAGGGGGACAGGGGACAGGGGAGGGACAGGGGGACAGGGGAAGGACAGGGGAGGGACAGGGGGACAGGGGACGGGAGGGACACCGTGGGGACATGGGGGGGTCATGGGTGAGGACTTGGGGATTGAGGCCACCGGGACTCTGAGGGGACACTGGGGGAGCACAGAGGGACACGGGGTGGGGACACGGGGTGGGGGCACGGGGGTCGGGGCCATGGGGACACGGGGGGAGGGACACAAGGGGACGGGGAGCCCCAGAGTGGGGCTGGGGGGGCTGCTGGAAATGGGCGTGTTTTGTCTAAAGTGGGTGTGGTTTCTGGACAAAGTGGGAGGGGCACGTGTGGGTGTGGCACTGGGCATAGCTCCTGCACCCCCTCCCACCTATCAGGGAGGGTCAGGCGTGGGCGTGGCACTGGGTGGGGCCCCGTGCTCACCGTGGGCTGCACGAGGTAGGACTGGGGCATCCAGGTGGGGCCGTGGACCTGCGGGTGGGAGCAGATGGGGGGGCTCCCCTGAGCACCCCGCCCCTCCCCAGGTGGGGACCCCCCCTCCCAGGACCCCCTGAGCCCCCGTACCTGGTAGGAGGAGACGGGGGAGGGCAGGTAGGGGGCCAGGGCGGCGGGGGGGAGCATCCGGCCGGGGGCCAGCCCGTAGGGCGCCGGGTAGAACCTGCGGGGTGGGGGGTCAGGGCTGGGGGGGCCGCGGCCGGCAGCCCCCACCCCGCCGGGCCCGGGGGCACCCCGGGGCACCCACCCGTTCTGCAGCGCCG